CCGCCAGCCCGCGCCCTTCTCTGGGCATCCACCTCCTCTCCGCCCCCTTGCTCTCCTCGGAGTCCAGGTCCTAACTTCGAAAATTCCTTCTCCAGTGTCGGCAATTTCCTCTTCTCTCTGTGATCTCCCAGCACCTGCCCGGTGAAGCCCAGAGCGAACCAAGCCCTCGGCCGACTCCGTGCTTCCGGCAGGGGCGCTGAGTGTGGAGGGAGGGACGCCAGGGCAGCGCCTTCTTCCGTCCCCTTCCTTTCCTCCTTCTTCCCCTTCCCCTGGTGACCTCCGGGGAGCGGGAGCCAGGGGTCCATCCCCAGCCCCCCGTCTCAGGGGCCCCTCCTGGCTCACTGCAGCTCGTCTCCCTGACCTCTTCCTCGAGGCGTGCACCCTTGCCTTCTCCTCAGCAGCTCCGCTCACTCCTCAGGGAATCATCTGGTCTGGCTTTAACCATCGGCCAGGCGCTGCTGACTGCCCAGCGTGCCTGTTTAGCCTGCACCTCGCCCCCGAATTCCAGAAGGGCCTTCTCGAAATTCAGCTTTGTTACTTCACAGGCATCTCAAATTTCCTGTGTCTCCAATCCAAGGCTGCACCTCCCCACTCTGCCCCACATTTGGGGGTATTCATGCAGTTTTCCCGTCTCGATAAAGGGCAACTTCGTCATTCTGTCTTTCTTGGGTCAAAAACTTAAGTCATCCTCAGTATCACACACAAAACACAGTATCTTCCCTGTTACTGAAATGAAATTAAACTGGGAAACAATATAAATACGCTCCACTGTCTTTGCATGAGCCTTAGAATTTCAATCTTGTACAATCTTTTCTTCCTCGTTATAAGAATAGCTCTTATTAGTTTTAAATATTAATTATTTGGTGAGAAAATCCTGAAACTGGCTAAAAACTGGCCCAAATCAAATATCATCATATTTCAGCTCTGGGTCCTCTCTGTGTTTTCTTTTCAAGCACAGACATTCTTCTGTGCATTTTGAGGGAAATGAGTTGGAAAGCTCATCTCTGTTTTAGGCAGGTTTGTGGGAGTTTAACAATTTTTAAAGGCCTGTTTTACTGCCTTGATTTTCTTTTTTAATTTTTGCCTTTTTTTCCTCCAAAGGCGCCCAGGCTGTGGTACACAGGTGATCAATTTGCAGGTTTTTAAAAAGTGAACAAATAATGGGAGAGCGCCAACTGGGAAGTAAAGAATGAGTGTTCACACACAGCCCTGAAGCCACGGGCGAGAGGGAGGAGGAAGGAAGAAGAGGCGAAGCAGGCAGCGCGGCCGGCGGGCCCTGGCGAGGGCCTCTGTCACATCAGAACCCAGCGTTTCTCTTCCCCGTCCTATGTCCATTTTTCTCTGATCAAAACATTTGAGTTTGTTAGGATGTGTACAGTCTAAGTATTTACAGCCTTATTTCTCAAGAAATTCCCAATAGATGTCAAGTTGGACATTGATCAAAGATGGGGTAGGATAACAATGAAATAAAAATTTAGCATTTAAAAGAAAAGACCTGTTCACTGAAATTAAATGGTACTGCGGCTTAATCCAAAAATACAGGTTGAGCTGCCTGATTTTCCTATTAAATTTTTCCTCTGACATTTGTGCTTCTGGGGGTAAACCAGGGCAAGCTTGTCTTAATCTGAAACCTGAATTGTATTTTTTAAAAACCAAACATGCCAACTGGAACACCACACAAATTGATGAGAACAACATCTTGTAAAAAAAAATTCCTAACAGAGAATGGTATAAATTGAACTTTGTGGTGCACTATTAGTTGTTTGTTTTATTTTATTTTTAAACTTCTTTCATCACCCTTGCACTTCAAGCTTCAATTATGAGTACGCGCCTCAAAATATTTTGACCAAATGAAAAATATTCATTATACTGTAAAAACAAATATCTCAAAATATCTTCCCTGGTCAGCACTCATATCCGAACACGTAACTGTAACTCTGTATATGACCAGTAATATTTGTTTTTTAAGCATCTGTAATTTGGCTTGTAAAATCTGGTATGTTTCTATTTTTGAAAAGTTGTCCCCCAAAATAAAAACAAGCCTTCCTCTTCAGTTCTACATAGAAAGGGCCTTCTGTGTCACCTTCTCTGCTGGAATGGCTAAAGGCCGACCCCGCCTTCCCTTCTCTAACCGAGGTAACGGTGGTTCGCGCAGGAAATCTCAATCTGGCTGGAGGCAGCCAGTGATTTTCCAGGTGGAGGGGAAGGGAGCGAGCGGAGTCCGGAGGCTCGGCCTCGCGACCCTAGCGGCCTGCGGCCCGCACAGCTGGGAGAAGCCCGCCACCTGGTGGCGGATGGAGACCACGGCCGCGTAGTCCTCAAGCACCTGGGACACGGTCCACAACTCCCCCCCGCCCCGTGGATGCAGGAAACCACGGAGAGAACCGAACCCTATATATACACTGTTTTCCCCCTACCTACAAACCCATGATAAAGTTCAATTTATAAATTAAACACAGTAAAAACAGAAAAATAAACACAGTAAGAGATTAACACCAGAACAATTGTAACAAGGTAACACGAGCCTCTCCCTCATGTGAATATGGCCTCTCACAGTATCTTATTGCATTGTACTTACCCTTCTGTTGATGATGATGAGGACGGCGTGAGATGATCAAACTGCCTTATGAAGCCAGGAACTTTCACCTTCTCCCTTAAAAGAAGCACTTTACGGCTTCACCCAGCGTCACCACGCTTGCACGCTGGAGCCACTAGTAAGTAAAGTCAGGGTGACTTGAACACAAGCCGTGCGGACAGCAGCCCAACTTACAATCAGGGCAGCTCGGTAACCAACGAGGGCTCCTTCGCAGCGTGGAGACGCAGACCAATGACGGGATGGCTCACGTCCCGCGAGAAAGCGCGAGATTTCATCACACTCCTCGGAACCAACGGATTTGAAATGCATGGTGTATTTCTGGAATTTTCCATCGGTTATCGCCGTACTCCGCTGCCCCTGGGTCACTGAAACGCTGGGACGTGAAATAGCCCGTAAGGGAAACGACTATAAGGGTGACTTGGTGACTTGGTGCCCGGCCTCGCGGGCGGCGAGAGCTGCTTCTGCACGCGCAGCCCTGGCCAGGGCCTTCGTTCCGGGCCTGGTGTGCCAGCCAGAGAAGGCCCGGCCTGCAACACGCAAACCCAAGACACAGAATGTTCCTTCCTATCAGCGGAAGCTACCCAGCAGCACCCCGTATAAATTCCCTCTCCACGCGAAGTCCGAAGTGTTTTATTTAACAAATCCCATCTCATTTCTCCAGGGATATACCATGCTGTTTCCTATACAATAGTGGGGGGCGGGGGGATAGGGAGGATGTGGAAGCGTACTAATCCCGCGGTACAATGAGTAATGGTGCACTTTTAAATTTTCTGTCCAGAGAATATTTTTCATCTGTTCAGATCCATGCAAAAATCTCAGCTGATGGCTGTCATTCAAAAATGATGGATGTGTTCAAGTAAATTTAAGGGACTGGGAGTTAGAGCCCAGGCAAGGACATGCAGACATATCTGTGCTCTCTTCTTTTGATTTCGTCACATTATTCCAATTTGCTTTACGTTGTAAATGCCTGCTTTTAATTTATAGTAAAGAGACCAGGTATCTATTTAAAGGCACGCGTCCCACCTGTAGCCCTGTGCCCTGGAGGTAACTACTTGTGTGTCTGCTACCTGCTCCTTGTGGTCTTTTCCTCCAGCATCTCTAAATAAAATGCCTTTGCTGCTCTCTCCAGGCCTGTTGGTGGTGGAGCGCCTTAGTGTAGGCTCTGTCAGAGGCAGCGCACGGAGACAAGAGTTCAAGCGCCGGATCAGGAACTAAGAGGAGGCAGCCAGGCAGCCAGGAAAGGGAATGTCATCAAGTCAGCTGCCCCCAGTGTGGAAATGAGCCCAGGATCCCCGGTTTGGGGCCGCTTCCCTCACGCGGGCAGCTCCTAGGCCAGCTCGGCTCCGTCCAGCGCGGCCGGGAGAGGGCAGATGGAACCTGCAGGGGGCGCTCTCCTCCAAAGTGGTCTGAAAGATCAGTCCACACCCGCCCTCCCACGCGGTTGGTTGCTCCCCTTGGCAAATACCGTTACTCCTTTGATGCCCTTCTCCAAAAAAAGAAATTTCATGGGAACAGAAGGGCTGGCAAGATTCCCGTTTGGGGCTAGGGAAACCCTGCCGCAATTTTATGTATGTGACCTGATGGAAAGATCCAAAAACAAAATAAGATCTGTACCCGCATGAAGCTTATTCCCTTGATGTGGATACAAGAGTAAGAAGCAAGCCCTGGCTGGTGTGGCTCAGGGGCTTGAGTGCCTGCCTGCTGAAGAGTCACCGGTTCAGTTCCCAGTCAGGGCACATGACTGGGTTTCAGGCTGGGTCCCCAGTTGGGGGCCTACAAGAGGCAACCGACTGATAAGTCTTTTTTGAAAAAGACTACGAGGCAAGAAGTAAATCTGGCAGCATTTTTCTAACAAGGGGGTCCTGACAGCAGAGGAGGGCTGACGGTGTTCCTGGAGGCCAGGTGGCAGTGGAGTTGGAAGACAGAAATTTCTTTTCAGGCACATGTTTTATTTCATTTTTTAAAGTCAAATGTTGCACTTATAATCTGAATTATGCATTTAAAACAATTACCAGTACACTTAGCTTTTTGTTTCCCATGACTTCAAGACAAACTGACATGCCACCAAGAGGTGGCACTGCACACCCCTAGGGGTGTGGCCCTAACCAGGAAAGGTGGACTGGGTTCATCATGAAAAACATCATTTATGTCCCAAGGTACAACAGAGACAACAACTGTTGTAGCTGTTCAGGAAAGGCCTAGATATTTGTCAAGATGGTATGAAGACAGCTATGAAGAGCACTATTCAAACCACCGCCAGCACTATAAGCTGTATTACACAGCCGTTTTTTTTGTTTTTTTTTTTTTTGCTTTAGTTACACTACTTTTTTAAATGAGGAGACAAGCCATTTTAAAAACAAATATACACTTTTTTTAATATAAATGTAAAGTAACTGTGCACTAACGCCAGAAACAGTGTATCTTCAATTCGGGGTTCTTTTCAAAAGATACAAGATGATTGTTTCAAAAAATACAAGATGCATAGATAAATCACATTCACTCCTTACAAATGTTAAATAGCAAACAATTTAAATTCATAGTGAACAATGATGACTTTTCAGTAGCTTGAGATTTCAATTGTTCATTCCATAATTTTTATGAGTAAAGAAAGAAAAAGCTAATCATGTACCTTAATATTGTCATTTATGTATTACTCCAAGTACAAACCACCCTAAAGACAGAGTCCCATGTTTATCATGTATTACAAAAATACTGAGACATTTGTCAGGCATAACTCATATAATGAAAACTATATTTTGGGATATGTTTCACAAAGATGAGTCCAACATTTCTCTTTGGTTCATAAAATATAAGAGGTAGATTCAAATACAGTATGCCTACCATGTCACTGGATGGTCATTAAAAGGTTGATCATTTATAACAGAAATTATTAGACATCAAACTTCAGTTTAGGAGGTAAATTTAAAAAGTGGTAAGAATAACTTCAACTAATACATCCTAATCACATAAATCAGAAAAGACAGTTAACTACAAAAATGGCTTTAGTAAAATAAAAATATGCCACAACATTAAAAGTAAGTTTTCTATATCATGAAAACATGTTCTAAAACTTGGGGCAAGAGAGACTATGAATGTATATGTTTTAAAATCGGGCCTTTCATTCAGGTGTAAGTACCTACTAGGTACGATTGGGTCCGTCCTGCCCAAGCTGAGAAAGGCAGGTTTGAAGAAACTGGACAGTGAGGAGAGAAGAGAAAGCCATCCCCCCATGACCAACCCCTTCACGTACTCAGGAAACTGCAGATCACCAAGGACAGCCCCCAGAAGCCTTCCTGATTAAAACAAAATCTGACTCAAGTAGGAAACAAAGGACTGAGAAAAGAAAGATGCTCTTCAAAAGCTGATACTAAGTAAAAAGATTTTGTTTCTTGGTACTTTTTGAAGCAATGACAGAATAAGCAAAATCTTTCAAGTCAGTTGCCAGTGTTTTGGTAACGTAACAGTAACATACTAACAGTCAGTGTGTCCTCCCAGGTCCCAAATAACAATGCAAGGAAAAGGGGACAAGGCCCGCTGAAGTAAGTATTATTTCATCAATCCTCCTTAGACAAAAGTGATATAAAGGGTATTTATATCCCTTTATATAGACAAAAGGATGTAGGGTATTTGTATCCCTTGAAATTCAGCCACTTAGGTTCATTCTTATTCAGCTTAAAGAAAGACAAACATAACCTCACTGCTTATCTGGCCGATGGAAGGTATGTTTTCATGCAACGATTTTCTATCAATGGCTCTAAAAGGAAATTTTAAGAAGTCTATAAAAACATTCAAAATATATAAAACAATTTAAGTTTCAAGGTTTTCTGATCATCTTGTTTTTAAGAAAAAGACTTAAGTATAAAGAAACTGGCACAAACATGAACCATCAAAAATAAAGATGAATGATTTATAATTCTACCACACAAAACAAATTTAGTTCAAGCAGGTACATGTTTCAGATTTAGGATTCAGGGCAGAGATTTGTAGAAAGGACTAAGAAGAAGAGATAAAATACAATTTTCTGGCCTTTTCAGAATTGTATGAGCTTCAAAACTATGATTTTTTAAAAACATTTCTGTATGTATAAAATTGAGCCCAAATGTTTAAAGTGATCCTTGATAAGCTCTTCCCTTTTGTGAAAAAAATATGGATTCTTTTGCCATTGACTTGCAGTTCTAGGAGAAAACAGTCCCTCTGGAGATTATAGGAAATCTCAATAATTGCGCAAAAGCAAAACATTCAAAGTGTCATTTCTGGGTTACTCCTAAAGTCTGTTTCATATTTTCATAAACCACATAACTGATGCCTACAGCGGGGAGCACCTTCATGAAGTTTGGGGTGATGCCTCTGTAGAGTCCTGGTATTCCCTCTTTGGAAACAATTCGTCGGAAGAGGCCAACCATGTTCAGCTGTTGGGTTCCTTCTACCATGGCTAGAAATTTTAAAAAAAGAATGAAAGAGAGAAACCAGGCTAATTTAATATTCAAGCATGTTCTGTTCTTATTACTACACATAAGTATGACTCAGAATGATCTAGAAAGATAAAATTTATTCCAAGGAGGTCCAAGAAAGTACCCCTTTACATAATTCTCATTAATGATAGTAATACCAGTTATTTATTGAGTGATTACCATGTGTCAGATACGGGGTTATTTATACGCCCATCCTCCAAGGTAAGCATCAGTAAACGCATTTTCTAAATGAGAGCCTGAGGCTTGGAAAGATGGAGACACTTGTCCTCGTACACTGAGGTGGCAGGTGGCAGAGCAGAGAGCCGCGATTCCGACCCCGGGGCTCAGCACTTTCCACCACCCCGCGCTACCGCCGCCTCCCCGCCTCCGCTTTAACCACGCGCTGAAGAGGGAGCCGTTCCATGTCAGGGAGCTTAGAAAAATGTCGGGTCCCTGAGCCTTGAAAGTGATCTCCATAGGTGGGCAAAGGAGGCGGCAGAGCCAAGGCACTGGCGCCAGGAAGGCAGGGCCGGACGCACGCGCCCTGCGGGTTCGCCTCCGGCAGCTGGCGGTGGGCACTGCAGCCGTGGGCGCGGTAACCGTGCGGGAACCGAGAGGAAACGGGAAAATTCACGGGAGCCGCAAGATTATGGGCTTTCAAACTCCCACGAGCTTTGGAATTTGTTCCAAAGACACCGAAAAGTCACAAAGACGTCTAGGCAGGAGTTAAAGGCTCAGACCTTGACTTTGGAAGCAACGTATCTATCAGCTATTCAAGGGACCTGATCCGAGCCGGCAAACCGGTGGGGAAGACGTGTTAGCTGATGGCCTGGGTTTGAAGTCTGGCTCTACCCTCTACCAAATACACAAACTTGCAGAAGGTACTTAATCTCTTTTGACCCCAGCTACCCCTCTGCAAAATGGAGATAATATCAGTATCACCCCCAAAAGACGGTTATGGCGGTTCGATGAGAGCGGATCTTCGCGCCCCTCCAGCGTGCGCGTTTCCCCCTGCCCCGGGCCTCGCACAGCTTTCCTGGAGCTGGGAGGCCCCTTCCGCCCCACTCACCTCCGCCCAGCTGGCTGCCACCCATCTTTGCAGGCTCGGACCCAGGGAGCTGAGAGGCCTCGATTCTGTGGCCCCGGCCAAGAGGAGGCGGGTTAACGGGTTGTTTGTTTGCTGAACGTGGGCCTTCCCCACTGGGCAGGGCACAGACCACACCCGACGTATGCACCGGTCTAGCCCTCCCACCTGTAGGCTGCCCGGCACTGGACGGGGGCTCAGGAAGTACTGGTAACCAAGGATGGACGATGGATGGCTTGGCCGCGGGAGGGGTGGTCATTCTCGGAAGAGAGGTTGGGGATAGAGCTGTAGGTGTGCAGGGTGTATGACTTAAAGGAAGGCAGAGGGCGAGCTTGGCCAGGAAAGGAGCAAAGAAGGAAAGAAAGGCACAGAAAGTATACTTTAACATAGCAAAAAAAGGCAGTGAATCATAAGAAAAGAGAATTGTTGCCCTGGCTGGTATAGTTCAGTGGGTTGAGTGCCGGCCTGCAACCCAAAGAATTGCTGGTTCGATTCTCAGGCAGGGCACGTGACAGGGTGGCGGGCCAGGTCTCCAGTAGGGGGCGCGCGAGAGGCAACCACACATTGAGGTTTCCTCTTTCTCCCTCCCTTCCCCTCCGTCTAAAAATAAAGTCTTTAAATAATTTTTTTTTAAAGTCTTTGTAAGAGAATTGTCGATGAGATGGCAGGAAAGCCAAGAGGGCACAGCGGGATCAAAGTCAAGGGCAGAGAAAGTGCCACGGTCGGGGAGGATCCCAGATAAAAAGTTGCAGGGCCCCACAGCGATGAGCAACCCCGGCCGACACTTACCAAGCATCTGACAAATGCCGGGTGTTTTACATATGGTGCTGCACAGTCTTAGAACCTGCACAGTCTGCGTTCCCATTTACAGATGAGAAAACGGAAACCCAAAAGGACCTGAGCCCAAATCCATCTAGACACTCCTCGTGCACTTCTAGAACACGCGTTCTCCGCCGGGCGAAAGCCCTCGCTGCGTTTGAGCTTACGCGCCGCACACGTACAGCGCGCGCAGCGCATCTGCGGCACCAAGACTTCAGGAGGAGGCGCTGCTCAGGCCCAGGGTTTGTAAAAGGCTTCTTTAGGGGGGCGATCACGGACAGAAGGTGGAGCTCTATTGCTTTAAAAAGCACGGGAGTGCGTCGTTCTCTCGGCGAAAACCCACCTTGAGCCTGCATGCGTGTCCTCACCAACGCCAGCGGGTAGCTGGCCAGCTGCCCACAGGTGCTAGACAAGGCGCCACACCCCAGCAACACCGTGACTCCGGGGTTCACCGAGTCTTTGGCAAAATTTTCCAGCCAATGGGCCTTCAAGAGCTGCCAGAGAAACAGAACAGAACGGAAATGGTGAACGACGACCTTCACAGCCGCCTTCACTCCCCGTGACCATTTTCACAGCTGCTCTCGTCCTGAGAGGCCACGCTCCCGCAGGTCGGGCAGGACGCCCCCAGGAGCGGCCACCCGGGGCGCAGGCGCATGCGGGCTGCACCCGTGGGCCACTGGCTTCTAAATAAACGGGAAGGCCCGCAGCGCCCCAACCGCTGGGCCCAAAGAACACTTCCTGCAGTGAGTGTTCATAAAAAGAATATACTGCTACTAACTGCGTCTAGTTCTGTACTTGACACGTATGGTATTTCATTCACTCCTTTTATAAAATTCTGAGGCAGAGTTATTCTTCCGATTTTAGAAATGAGGAAAATTAGTCTCAGTGGGGTTTTTTGGTTTTTTTTAAACAAGGGTGCAGAATCAAGCACTGGTCCCCAGGCCATGCTTTCTTCCCTATTACTTTAGGTCCCACTATTTCCATTAGAAGGCAATAATTGAGAGAAGTTGTATAAAATATGTATGCTCTTTTTTAAATATAAATATTTTAAGTATAGCCCTGGCTCGTGTGGCTCAAGGGACTGAGTGCCGGCCTGAGAACCAAAGGGTCACCAGTTCAATTCCCAGTCAGGGCACATGCCTGGGTTGCCGGCCAGGTCCCCAGTAGGGGGCGCGCAAGAGGCAACCACACATTGATGTTTCTCTCCCTCTCTCTGTTCCCCTCGCTCTAAAAATAAATAAATAAAAATCTTTTTAAAAAATATTTTAAGTATAAAAATATTTGCCAATAAGTGGGAAAAATTATATTTTGTTATGGTAGCCCAAGAATACTAATACACTATCCAAAGCAACCTGCAAATTCAATGCAATCCCTATTCAAATTCCAATGATACTTATTTGAGGAAACAGAAAACCACCTAAAATTTAAATTTATAAAATTGTCAAGTGACCCTGATTAGCTAAAATAATCTTGAAAAGGAAGAACAAAGTTGGAAGCCTCACAAAGTTGGAGGAGATGATAGATAGATAGATAGATAGATAGATCAATCGACCTTACATCACAAAGCAACAGTAATCTAGACAGTGTGGTACTGGCATAAAGACAGATATTTAGATCAGTGGAAGAAAATAGAGAACCTAGAAATAAATTCTTGAAGATAAAACCAAATGATCTTCAACATGGGTGTCACAACTACGTATCAGGGAAAGAAAAGTCTATTCAACAAATGGTGCTGGGAAAATAGGGTATCCACATGCAAAAAAACGAATGGACCTTTATCTTACACGGTATATAAAAATTAACTAAAAATGGGTTAAAGACCTAAACATAAGACCTAACACTATAAAACTCCTTGGGAAAAAAAGTATAGGGTAAAAGCTTACGGACATTTGGCAATATTTCTTGGATAATACACCAAAAGCACAAGCAACAAAAGCAAAAATAGACAAATGGACTTCATCAACTTAAAAACTTCTGTGCCACAAAGGAGACAATCAGCAGAGTGAAAAGGCAATCTATGGAACGGGAGAAGATATTGCAAACCATATACCTGATAAGGGTTAATATCCAACTATTTAAAGACATCCTACAATTCAACAACTAAAAACATTGATTAAAAATAGGAAAAGGACTTGGAATGACATCTCTCCAAAGAAGATACATAAATGGACAATGAGCATATGAAAAATGATCGACATCACTTATCATCAGAGGAATGTAAATCAGAAGCACAATAAGATATTGCCTCATACCTCACAGGATGGCCACTATCTAAAAAATAAAAAAATGAATAAATAAATAAACAAATAATCCCCCCCCCCCAAAAAAAAAACCCCAGAAACTAGCAAGTCTGGCCAGGATGTAGGGAGATCAGAATTCCCGCACACTGTTGGTGGGGCTGACAAAGGGCGCAGCTGCTGTGGACGACAGGCTGGCAGTTCCTCAGAGCACTTAACGTCCAATGACCATGTGACCCAGCAATTCTACCCCCGGCACATACCCAGAGGGACTGGAAGTAGATACTCGAGTACTTGTGCCCAACGTTCACTGCAGCACTATTCGCAATAGCCAAAAGGTAGAAACATGCCAAGTGTCCATCAACGGAAGAATAGATAAATAAAATGTAGTATACCATGCAATGGAGTATTAACCAGCTGTAAAAAAGAATGAAGTCCTGATACAGGCTACAACATGGGTGAGCCCTGAAAACATCACGCTGGGTGAAATAAGCCAGGAAGGGAAAAGGACAGATATTGTGTAGTGCCACTTGTACAACGTAACTGGAACAGGCGAATTCAGAGAGGTAGAAAGTAGATTAGAGGTTATCAGGGACTGGGGGGAGGACAGAGTGCAGAGTTACAGAGTTTATGTTTGGGGTGATACATAAAAAAGTTTTGGAAATAGCGGTGCTAACTGTACAACATTGTGAATGTAATTAATGCCCCTGAATGGTACCCTTAAAGATGGTTAAAATGGCATATTTTGTTATAGACATATAAAACCACAATCTTTTTAAATATTTCTTATTTTAAAGATTGTATTTATTTATTTATTATTAGAGAGAGGGGAAGGGAGGGAGAAAGAGAAGGAGAGAAATATCAATGTGTGGTTGCTTCTCACGCACCCCCTACTGGGGACCTGGCCTGCAACCCAGACATGTGTCCTACACTGGGAATCAAACCAGCGACCTTTTGGTTTGCAGGCTGGCACTCAATCCACTGAGCCACACCTGTCAGGGCAAAAACCACAATTCTTAAAAATTAATGATGTCATATACCAAAAGCCACTGAACTGCACACTTTAAATGAATGAAATGTATGGTATGTGAATTGTAGCTTCATAAAGCTATTTTTTAAAAAAGGTCATGCCCTCTCAGAAAGGTTTCATCACATGTACGCCCCCTGCCCTCAGCTATTGGGTGGGCCCCTTCCTAATATGCCCAGGCTGGCCGCCCACCCACCCCCAGCACAACTGACCGCACAGGGGTCCGCTGGCCTCCCTCCCCTACCAGACCTTCAAGTCCTCCTTCCGATCTCCAGACCCAGCGCCTAACCCACGGGCTTGCACGTAGTATGTGCTCAATGTTTGTCAAGTTCATACATTAGTAAATGGTTTCAGTGACAAGGGTGACTTAAAAAATTATAGTCCGGGTTGTTTCATCCATATCAGGGATGCCTCTGTACCAGCCACACCAGCCTCTTCGCTTTATTACTATCGGATACGAATAAATCAAAGGAAATGTGCCATTTTCACTTATTTTCTCTCTCCCGCCCCCAGGTCTCCAGTATTATCTTCCAAGCTGAACAACTATATGCCACTATGAGTCCAATCCCTTCATTAATACAAATAATTCACAGAGAAATCTACTACAAAACTGACCACAGGCATGTGAGGTCTCATATTCAAGATACTTGGGAAAAAAAGATCACATAACACCCCTGAATCTACTTTTGGTTACAGATTCTCCCCTGGTATATATGTGCTTCTTCATATAAAGTCCAACTTGAACAATACGAACTACTTAACTGCACTTTCAGAATCAAAATTGGCTTCCAACTTACCTCATACACAGCAAGATCAATACCTGCGTAAGGTATGATGCCTAATAAGTTGGGAATATAACCTTTGTAAAAAGCTCCCATGCCTTCACGTTTCAAAATCTTCTTGGCACAATCAAACAGCCCAGAGTACTGCCCAGTTTTGCCTACGGCCAGCCTGGTTTTCAAAACCTGGGTGTGAAAAAATACAACAAAATGTGGCAGCTCACATTAACTCTATCATGAGGAAATTCAAACAAGCAATTGTACAGAGAACCACCACCTCGCGCACACCGTCACCCAGACGACTTGCAGTGCATTGGTGTGCCGTGCCTCACACATTACCTCTCTTGAGGGGCCAGGACAAGAGCCAGGGGGAGCCACTTACTGCAAAGAGAACCTGAATGAGGGCAGCAGCACAGGAAATAGAGGAAAGGTGATCTACTGATGTCTCAGCAGAAGGCACTGGTGGCCAATTAGATAGGGAGGGAAATGGCGGAGTGAGAGACAACGCCAGCGTTTCTGGCTTGGAGCGCAGGGTGGGGCCAGCAGCGAGGCCGGGAGGCGGTGCTGCTGAGATGACCAGCATAAGAGGGGCGCCAGGTACTGAGCTGGGTGCTGCTGGGAGCGGTGTGGAGAGTGATATGGCCCATAACATTAGTATGGCTGTAAGGAAAGCTATGGCAGTAAGCGCACCACAAAGGTGAAAATTAACCCAGCACGTATCGCCTGGGTCTTACCAGTTACTGAAAAAACCTTTGCCGTATCGATAAAAATATCTGTATCTACAACATTATTTTTGCCCTCAAGTGGGAGTTGGTAAAGTTTTTTTGTAAAAGCCAGGTGGTACATAGTTTCACCTCTTCAGGCTTAAAATATCAGGTCTCTGTTGTATATGGGTTTGGAGGGACGTAGTTAACCACCTTTTAAAAGTGTAAAAAGTATTCTCAACTCAAGGGCTTTACAAAACAGTCCACAGGTCCATGGCTGGCCAACCCGTGCTCGGATCAATAGATGTCTAGGGAGACCTACCGTCAGCTAATCAAATGCTGAGTTCCATGATGAGATTTATGGTACCAAACTCTTTGGAGAGGAAGAGGTGTTATCATTCTTATCAACACTGTGGCCGCCAGCCGCCTAAGTGACCCTCAACTACCCTGCTTCCTGACATTCGCATGCTGGGTAGTACCCTCCCACATTCTACCGGGGGTGCTCTGCGTGACCGACAGTTCACAGCAGGGGTGACCAAAGATCACAGCTTCCATCTCGGGCGCTACCCCCACCCCTCAGAGCGCCGATCTGGGGAAACCATGCCGTGAGGATACCCCAGCGGCCTGTGGAGACGCCCATGTGATCAGGAACTAATGTCTCCAGCCAACAGCCAGGAAGGCGGGGCCTTGGCAGTGGCTGCGGCCCTGGCCAACCCCTGGACTGCAGCCCGTGAGAACCCCGGGGCCACGGGCCCTCAGCTCAGCTTCTCCCAGATTCCTGAACCACGGAAACTGTGAGAGAGTAAGCACTTGTTGTTTTAAACTGCTAATTTGGAGAATACTTGTTACACGGCAATGAATCATTAATACGAAAACAGTTAACCCTGTCAGACTTCATGATGCCACGCACCTCCATGGGATAAATAAATGTCTGTGCAGTCGCTCCGGCCAAGGAACCAGAGACAAATCTCTCAAGGGTTCCCACTTTCTGTCCTGGCTCAGTAAGCATCTTCTTGTACTGTGTAAAGAGATTTTAAATGCACATTAATATTTGCTATAGACAGTATCGTGCGTCCCTACTCACAACTTCATGTATGGTGAAGCTGTAACCCCCAATGTGATGATATTTGGAGGTGGGGCCTTTGGGGGGTGATTAGGATTAGATGACTTCACGAGGATGGGGCCCTCGTGACAAGATTAGTGTCCCTCTAAGAAGAGAGACAGAGTTTTCTGTCTCTCCCTCCTCTCTCTCTCCCCCCATGCGCATGCACCAAGGAAAGGCCACACGAGCACAGAGCATAAGGATGGCCGCCTGCGAGCCAGGAAGAGAGCCCGCACCAGAGCCCGACTTGGCCAGCACCTTGATGTCGAACTGCCCTGCTCCAGAACTGTGAGAAACAAATCTCTGTTGTTTGAGGCACCCACAATATGGAATTTTGTTACAGCGGCCCAAGCTGAATAAGATGATATCAAAATACAAATCAACTCCTAGAAATCAATTAACTGACAAGTGATGATGTTTCTCAGAATGCATACGCTGCACTAACACTACTTAGGGGGGAAAGGGAGGCTGACAGGTGAAGACACTCAGTTAACGGGACAGTGGTTTTCAAGGTAGATTCCCACAGAACCCGGCTCCTCCTTTGCTAAACAGAATAACAGATTCTCCCCCAGACGCCCAGAAAGTACAGGCTTAATAAAGTGTTCACAATTTCTGAATAGCTGCTCCATAGTTTTTCTTTGTGAAGGTGAGGTTATTTTCACTAGCACAAATAAAACTGTTAACTAAGTGACAAATATTAATGACTTAGAAAAACAGTTTCTGTAGGTGATACATATAATTAAACTATCACTAACAATACAGCGAACAATTACCTGTTCATACGCCCAGAACTTCACAGCTGTCTCGGGAGCAATTTTAATGACATTCGTACCATTTCCTCGCCAAAGGGAGCGGACGCCTCCTTCCTTCACCATCTGCCGGAAGCCGCCATATATGCTCATTTTGTCTGATTTTGAACCGTGGACCTAAAAACAAAAGTAAAATGATAGGAAATGCTGGTAGCGTGTTGTTACTATTTCTACAGGAACAGGGCAAACCACCCCCTTTTCTCCAATACTGCAAGACGACGTATTTAAAAATAGGATACGGGAGGCTGAGAAAATATGTGATATATAAATAATTTAAGGAGAACCCTCCAGTAATTACTAGATATATAAAACACTTGAACAATCATAGAATGCCAAAGACTGAAAGTTCACCACACATGTACCAACACTGTGAGATTTGGCAGCACACTGAAATACTTAGGTGGACTGAATTTAGGGTTAAGAGTAATACAACAGATATTTTTTTAAAGGTATGAGAGACTATTACAGAGAGCTTTTTTAACTTTTTTCAGAGCGCCATATTTCTCATCATTTGAGGACATTCAGGACCAACAGAGAGGAGAGCAGCAGGTTCACCTGCATCATGACTTTGAGACGGTCCAAGGGCGCGGTGCTGGTGCGGGAGACGGCCCCGGCGATGCCGCCCGCCAGCAGCTGCCTCCACCACTGTCCCGACTTCTTCTCATCTTCCGTGAACTCATCCGGAATAGTGAGACTATCTCCTATGTCAATACCCTGTTAGGATGAAGAAAGAGACCCCCGGGTTCCTTCAATTAACAACAGGTCACCCAGCAAGCGTGTTTTAGAGAAGCAGCGCGCTACTTCATAGCTGAGGTCAGCCTCAGCCCCTCGAAAGCGCTCTGGGCCAACCCGAGCTCGGGGGTGACCCCACATTGCTGCCTCCCAGCGACTGAAGTGCGGCATCAGTTCACGAGGAGTGAAAGTGAACAGTATTTACAAACTGACAAAACCAACAATCCCAACTTTCATAATAGATTCAGAGTAACTGTCTCCTCTAGGTCTAAGTCAGAGCAAAAGGGCAGCACTTTAATTCTTTTTAGCTAGAGAAAGCAGTGAGTTTGTCCATTCTCCAAAGATACACCTTTTATCTTGAAATTATATCTATGTTCTACTTTGTCCCATGACATATGCTTTAAATATGTAAGTAAAAGTTAAATTAAAACTGTGAATGTGAACACCCTGAAACTCATTTCCTATATAGACTATCTGTAAGTATTTTTATAAATGTGACTTGTCATTTAAAACATGCAAAAGAGCCCTGGCTGTGGATTGAGTGCCGGCCCGCAAACCAAAGGGCTGCCGGTTCAATTCCCGGTCAGGGCACAGGCCTGGGTTGCAGGCCAGGTGCCCAGTAGGGGGTGTGTGAGAGGCAACCACACAGTGATGTTTCTCTCCCTCCTTTTTTCCCTCCCGTCCCCTCTGTCTAAAAATAAGTAACATCTTTTTTTTAAAAAACATGCAAAAGATGCTATATAAAATTGAGCTAACAGGAGGTATTATTTAAAATGATCTGCCCTCCCATCTATTCTAACCCTTACTACAGAGCACAAACATAGCGTGAGAGAAACAAAGTGCTACAACTTTACAGTAAGAACCTGATACACGTGCAACAGAATGAGCAGAGCCGCACGAGTTCAGGAGCCGCCGGGACTTGGTTGGGCGCCCTGTGCTATAAACGTCGCACTATTCTCAGGTGGCAGCTACGCCCGTGGCTGGCAGTTCCAGGTGAGTGGCAATTAATGCATAAAGCAGACTTACAGTAGAATGTTTCCAGAAACGGACTATTTCCTCGATGTCTGTAACAGGATTAAATAAGAAGTAGTCCCTCCATTCATTCCAGTCCACTGTCATCGTCCCATCGGCATCAATGCTGGGGGGGAATAAAAGAAGCGGCTAACTAAGGAACACAACCAAATATATAAATAAAACTAACATTACTGTCTACTTTGTAGAATCACAGTTTCTTTTCCAACTTAATATTCTTATTAAATTTTAAAAATCCTAATTCACAACAGGTCACTGGAAATGGCAGCAAGCACTTGATGGTCTGTTATACAGTTTTAATCATTTAGATTTTTAAAATGGACCCTAAAACTACAGAGAAACCTCACGAAAGACTGCTTTTAGCACTCTGTCAAACTCTAAGCCAATGAGAGCTATCAGACACAAACAGTGGAAGGTAAAACACTGGGAGGCAGCAATGAATGGTTTATGATCCGTGTTTTCTTGCACTGGTTCAAAAAGGTATTTCCTCATGTTCTGTTACAACATTTGGATGTGATTTGGGAATATATGCAAAATACACTCTCAGTTCCCTTCCCCAACTTTCTCTAAGCTCAGAAAATCAGCAGTTATTGTCTAGAACAGATCTATTATTTGTAGATCTGTTTTTTGAGAGTCTGTAAGAACCATTTGGGACTAAAGTTTCATTAGTAGGAAAACTTTTCATCGCCGATACAATACCTTTATTTAGGAACTACTGGCTATTTCTTCTTGATTTAGTTTTGGCAAATTATGATTTTCTAGAAATTCTTCTATTTCACATGTTCTCAAATTTACTGGCATAAAATTATTTGTAGTGTTTTATTATCTTTTTAAAGTTTCTAACGCATCTATGTGCAATTGGACATCATTTATTTACAAATCATTTCTCTTTTTTCTTCATCATCTGCCCAGAAGTTTCTCCCCAACAATCAGCGTTTGGCTTTGTTGTTCTCATTACTGTAACTTTGCTTTCCGCTTCCACTGCTGTCTCCATCTCCTCCTCTCTACCGTCTCAGAGATGACTCTGGTTTCTCCCTTCACCTCCGCACGTTAATTCTCAGCCTCCATTCTCTTCTAACACAAGCTTTAAGCCTATAAAAGTTCCTCTAAGTACCTCTTAGCTGTATCTCACAAGTTATAATATGTGGTGTTTTCATTTCTGCATGTTCACATATAATTTCATCTTTGACCCATAAATTATTGAGATGTACATGTCATTTCAAAAGTCACTGCAGTTTTCATAACTTATTTCTGTTATTGACTTCTAAATTAATGCAGAGTGATCAAAGAGGGTGGTCTTTGTAATACCGATTTTTGAAATATGTTGAACCTGACTTCTTGGTCTACTGTGAAACCAATCTTTATACATGTTTTATGCATCTAAGAAAAAAATTTTTTCTAATTTTTTGGTGCAAGGTTTTGTTGTATGACCATTACATCAAGGTTCTTATTTATTTACATCCTCTCTGTCTTGACTAAATTTTTTCTCTGCTTGACCTATCAAATATAGGAAGATGTGCATTAAAACCACTCATTACTATAATGAGTTTGTCAAATTATCCTTGGAATAATAATCAACAAACTTAAAAAAGTGTTATTTCTTTATGGTGAATTTTAAAATGTGATGACGCTCTGTTTTCATTAATGTGAAGATATGATTTTTACCTTGTAATCTTATCTGATATTAATTTAGCTACCCCAGGTTTTTTTGTTTGACTTTTTCTTTCATCTGACAATCTCTGTCTCCTGACAAGACTTTTACTAAGTGTTACCTTCTAATCTTATCTGATATTAATGTAGCTACCACAGCTGAGTGAGGAAAATACAGACAGACACAAAAGGCCACATGTTATATGATTCCATTTATATGAAATATCCAGAATAGACAAATCCATAGAGGCAGAAGGTTAGTGGTTGCCAGGGGTTTGCAGAGGACAAGTAGGGAATGACTGATCATGAGTGCAAGGTTCCTTTTTGGGGTGATGAACATGTTCCAAAATTAGACAGTGGTGATGGTTGTACAAGTCTGTAAATATACTTTAAAAATCACTGAATTGTACACTTTAAAAGAGTGAATTTTATAGTATGTGAATTATGCGTCAATAAAGTTGTCATGTAACATTTATATAAATAATTACATAGCCACTTTTTTTTTTAGTTGAGATCACCTAATGGTGATCATCAACAATTTTTTTTTTATTGCTTTGAGAGAGGGAAACATCGATTTGTTGTTCCACTTATTAATGTATTCACTGGCTGGTTCCTGTGTGTGCCCTAACCAGGGATCAAACACCCAACCTTGGCATCTTGGGACACTGCTCCAACCAACTGAACTACCCAGCCAGGGCCTATAGAGCCACTTATAAATATCCACCCCTCTGTATTACTCATGGTCTAGTCTGGAGCTTGGGCTTGGAATCTGTACTATTCTTAAATCTATCAAAAGGAATACAAGAACGGGATCTGACCTAAGAACCAAAAAAGAAAAAACCCCACACTTTCCTGGAAGGATGTGACTTTAGAAGCAGAACATTACATGCTCCACACATCACACTGTTTATCTCTTTCATGTTTTAGCTTTTGATTTCCTCAGGAAAGCCTTTCTCCTCCAGCGTTAACAAGAGTAACCCCAAGCGCAGCTCTGGGGCCTGGGCATCCTGCTGAGCTGCTACCTATGACACAAATTCCAGACAGACAGGAAGGGGGGAAATGCCCAGCGCAGACTCAAGAGCAGACAAACTCTACAATAAACCCATTGAGAAGTGGCTTTTTATATAATGTTGAAGACCAAAAACATTCACTAAAATATGAATATAATATAACCGCCCTTTCTAGTTTTCTGATGTCATACAAAAATTTAGTCCCTACGGTGTATTTGTAACAAAAGAGTTTTCAAGGCGTTTGGACTTCAGAGATTATTATTCCATCCTGTGAAATAAAACAATCAAGTCTGTAAAGGTCTGACCTATGAAATGGGTGAGCTGACTACCCTGCCAGTGGTGTTCAAATGAGCGCCCCTCTTTCTGGAAGTTTGCATCGGTGCTTCTTTGTTGGTCAGCTGGAAGGACATTAGGCTTTCCCTCTTATCCAGTCACATGGAGGTTAAGCAATGTGACGAATCTACTAGGCTCCTTCCCTTAAAACGAGTCGAATGTCACATTAGGAATCAGAGGGGAAACTGAACACTAACACTCCTGACTTCTCCACAGATTTAACCCCTTCCTGACGTTCCAGCGCCCCTTGAGGGCTTGCAAGGGAGTCCTGTCTGTCTTTCTCTGACATGTGGAATCGAAATAAACAAAACACAACAAAACAGATTCACAGAAACAGAGACCAGAACGATGGTCACCAGAAGGGAGCGGGTGGAGGATGTGTGAAAAGATGAAGGGGACTAGAGTCAATAATATTGTGAAGAGTCTGCATGCTGACAGATAATGACCAGAATTAGTGAGCTGGTCATATTGTGAGGTACGAAGCAGTTGAATCCCTAAAATGTGTACCTGAAACTAAAATAAGATTGTATTCCAGCTGTACTTAAATAAAATAATACATTTTAAAGTTAAAGAAGAAAGAGTCCTGTGTGAGCCCACACTGCCCGCTTTAGAGGCAGACGTGCCTACCAAATGGAAAGGGAGAAAAAGGGAAGCGCGAGATTGAGCGTGCGCAGTGAGGAATGGTGAGGTGCAAGGACTCGCTCTGAGCACACTGACAAACGTGGCTGTCTAATGCAGGGCGTGAGAACGAAAGTCTGAAAATGAACTGTCCATCAACTGAAGAGCTTACCTTTGAAGAATCCGCTCTGCTTGTTGTTCAGAAATAGTTAGACCTAGTATCTGGAGAGACTGAACAATTTCGGAGGCCTCAATTTTTCCTTTAAAAAAGGGAAAAGAGCATAAACTCAGACTCAGAACGATAAAGACCTTAGAAATCATGAGTTTCAAATCCCTCAGTTTACCAGGGTAAGCCTGGACCTGATGAAGGTCAAAGTATAAATTTAGGGGAGTATTAGATTTGCCTGAGTACCTCTTAAAACACCAACTCAAAATTTAACAAACACATTAAACAAGTACACACACATTATTTCAACCCAGAAATAATAACAGCCTTGTCAGGAAATAATGGCATTCCATCTGAAGAAGAAGAGACTGAGCGCTTTGGTGGCCTTACCAAGAAACAACATTAAGAAGCAGGAGAACTGAGATTCAAATCAAGATAGCTGAACTTGGAGCCAGGTGGCTGCTGGGGCTCTCAGGGAAAGCACTTCGTGGAGTGCGTGGGTATCTCACCGACCATTCAGGTGCTGTGAGCCTGACACTATCACAAAATAATGTTGGGGGAAAGATGCTTGGACTGCGAGGTAAATTCAATTAAGCTAGGATTTACTGATTTTAAAAGTATGTATTGTTCTACATTTTAATGAATGACTAGGCATTTATGATGCATAAAGATTTATTGCACCCGGTTAATAAGAAATAGACAATGGCTAAATGAATCCAAAGAGAAATCTGGCAGTAAAAATTAAAGACAGCAGGGGTAATAGGACGATGAAAGCTGAAGAATTATCATTATTAGAGAAATTAGAGCATGTTTGTACACAGCAGAAGAATCAGAAGAGAAAATGTAGGCAACAAAGGTGAGTAATACCGCATTTCCTGCAAGCAGCTCCCAGACTCCCGAGGACCCAAAGACCGACAGGCATGGGATATGATGATACAAAACAGAGTAAGAGAGGACCTGACGCCAAACCAGTAGTGGTGGCAGAGTCCTCCAAGAAAAGAGGAAGACGAAAAGGACTGCTGGTAGTGAAAAAATGGTTTCATTTAAGGAAAGGACTTCGAAGAACTGGCGGCATTTGGAGTGAATTCTCTTGTGGAGAGCAAAGGAACAGCGTGAGGGTCTGGACAATATATGGATAGTTAGAGGCCTCCATCTCTTACCAATGAAATTCCCTAAATAACATTCTGAATATCATTCTTAAAGAGATACAACTGAGCCCCATTATTCGCAGTAGTTGTTACCTTTTGCAAGGTCACTGTTAACCTGAATTAGTAAGTACTGCACCATTGTTCCTACAGGAAGTAAGGGGCTAGGTTCCTATGAGCCTCTAGTCACATTTTCATCAACCAATCAATACACGCCCTTGTTTTATGTGTGTTTCTGTTTAAAGACACCTTATTTAATATATATTACGGATTCGTTGACATTGAACTCACAGTCAACAGTACTCTGCTGCCTGAATGCAGCTTACCTAACACATGGATTTATTTCCAAGGGCACATCAGGGTCTTCTTGCATTTAGCAATGCTAGGCAGCACAATGCTTGGGGGCGATTTTAAATAGCAAAATCACCAACCATAAGCACAAAAATGCATAAAACATGGCACTAAAGAAGGACATCTAAAAGTGTTCTATTTCGAAGATGAAAGCTAAAACAAGAAAGCAGAGCATCACTTTGTTCTATCTCCGCTACAAATGTGCATGTCAAGCAACTAAAATGTCTCACTGCTCTGTACATGACTACAAGTGACCGTGAAAGTGCCACAAGTACTGATCTGAGGGGAATTTTAGCAATTCCTCAGGGTCTGTGAGGCCAATTCTCAAACACAAAGCCCACAAATAATGAGGATAGAGTGTATATGCTTTGTTTTAAGGAAGTCTGATGAACAAAATTATTCATCTATAGTGAGAAATTGCTTTAAAATATACAAGCAAGACAAATTAAGGAGAGGTTGTTCTACTGCAAATGTATCATAAAATTTCATCTTTGTTTATTTCCTCTGAAATGGACAGCCAGCGTGTGCACAGCTGAGTGCGGGAATGACTGACCTCTGCTTAGCGGGCAGAAAGCACCGCCTCCCGTCCACTGCCTGCACTGCACTGCACTGCCCCCACAGTCCGACCTCTGCCACTGAACCGGACAGGTCCGGGGCAGGGTGAAAGTTTACTGGGAAGCAGTAAAGTTGATTGTAAGAACTGAATTTTGCTAGAAGACCAGACTACGGCTAGACTTGGGGGCATATAATACGAGGTTTATGGGAGGTAGCACATGGTCCCATAGCATGACTTGCCACCACAAACACAGCTCTTGCAGGCTGAGTCACAGACTAGAACGGTCTTCAGAACCATTCGAAGCATTTAGTTGCTTGTTTGTTTGCAGTAACCTGCCTTGAATCTAATAGAATATGATGCTTCGTGTATTCCAGGGGCCAGTAAACTATAACCCTCTGGCCAGATAAAGCCTGTGGCTTGCTTCTGTAAACCAAGCCTCACTGGAACACAGCCACGCCCTTCATTACATACTGTCTAAGGACGTGTCTACTGTGACGGCAGAGCTGAACCGTTGCAACTAGGACCGCATGGCCCACAAAGCTCAAGCGGTTAGTACCTGGCCTTTTACAAAAAACGTTTGCCGACCCTGATGGGAACCATAGTTTCTCTCAATCTGTTTGTTTAATGTTTTAAATAGTAAGTCTGTGAATGAAATGGTCTGGACTGCTAGTATTTAGGGAACGGTTGGAGGCTGCATTCTAATTTTTTAAAATAAATTCTCTCTTCCTATCAGGTTGCCTCTGGTGATATGGGTTTCATGACTCTTCCGTTTCTCCTACTGTGTTTTTTTTTTCTAATTTTTATTTATTGATTTCAGAGAGAGGTAAGGGGGGGAGAGAGGAAGAGGAACACAGACTTGTTGTCCCACTCAGCTGTGCACTCACTGGTTGATTCTTGCATGTGCACTGGCCGGAGATTGAACCCACAATGTTGGCGTGTCAGGGTGACGCGCTAACCAACTGAGCTCTGACCAGGGCCTACGGTGGCTCTTGCTTTTTGTTCTACACAAATAAGACTCTAACTCCAAGCTATTAATCTAAAGTTAGGAACCATAAGTCCAGTCAGAAGATACATATTTAAATATCTATTTAAATATGCTCTTTTTTTTAAATTTTCAGGATCTGCTCTAAAGTAATTCTTTCAGAAAAACTACCAAATGTAAGATAATTTACAAGTGTTGCCTAAAATTTAGATTATGTAATATTTATGCCTAAATATGAAAGAAATATAAATCTCTTGTCCAGAGAACAAAGAAACATAATTCTTTTCAACTCATAGCTTTAAGTCAAATCAGCCAATTGTTCTATAGTTAACATTTTACAAACAGTCCTAACTCAGTTTTTTAATCAACTGGACAAAAAAAAATAAGCTTTCTTTACTAAAAACATAAATTCTATATAAAAATCACATTTCTAAGAAAAACAAATATTAACACTTGTGATAATTACCATCTAAAAAAAGAAAGACTAAATATACATTGTTTTAGACTCTTGGAAGTATAAGTGCTCTCTCACCATCATTATTTTTGTCTAAACTTTTAAATGCCAATTTCATTTTTTTCTCATGGTCTTTAAGGTACTTCGTAAATTCTTCAAAATCCAGCTTTCCATCTCTGTTGGTATCACCAGTAGTAAAAATTTTCTACAAAAAAACCATAAACAAAAAAAAGTATATTAATATGGGTTAAAACACTAAATTATTTGTTCATATACTTCAAGTAGATTGGTTGTTTTCCTGTAAGACGTGTACTCCACAAATCCCAAGATAGAAGACAATATGGGATTTAAGTATCTATAATAGTATTTTTTTCCTTGGATTTCCAAAATTAAATAATCTCTTTCTAAAGATAACGCTTATAAAAAGCTGTCCTATCCAATGATCTCTATTAGCAGAAATCATTGCTTTTGAGAAAAAAATAAAAATCATGGTATTTGATATTACACAGAAGCCCTTTCCACTGTCCTCCAAAGTACACACCTTCTGCCTCCAACCACCCCCTCGAAGCTCACAAATTCTGCTGGCTTCACGGCCATGCTCTTCTGGGAAAAAATGCCTCCGTGCAGCCAGGTGGTGCAATGGTCAGGCCTCTGAGCTCTGGACTCAGAGAGAAAAGGTCTGAAACTTGTGAGGTGCGACCAAAGATGAGAGGGAAACGTCTGGAAATCAATGAAGAGTTAAAGTAAAGAGTAAAAAAGTAAACGAGAGGATGATCAATACCAAAAGGTGGCTCTTTGGGGGAAAAAAAAAAAAAAGGAACAGTAGAACTGGTATACCCCTGACATTTGGCAAATAACCAGCATCAGAAAGTAACAATGAAAATCACTAGGGAGACATTAAAGATACTATGAACAACTTTATATCATAGAGTATGAAAATCAAGATAAAGTAGACAAATTCCTACAGAAAGAGAATTTATCAAGAATCACTGGAAAATCTAAGTAGCCCTGTAAGTTTTAAAGAAATTTAATGTAATTTTAAAACATTCTCACCAAAGAAAAATTTAAGCAAGGTCATTAGTGAGATAGATGCAAAAATCCTAAATCAAATGTTAGGAAATCAAATAAAATCTAACAAGACAGAAAATGGATAGCATTATATACAAAATAGATATTATATATAAAATGTATAATACTATATATAATATGTGATACAACAATATATAAAATGGATAACAGTATAAAAATGGAATATATATGTGATGAATGTATTCCATTAATGCCTGGGTTAGGTTATAAGTAACTTTTTTTAAAGAAAAAAACCTTGTAATTTAACACATTAATAAAATAAAAGAGAAAAGTCATATGATCATCTCAATAAACACAGAAAAGTAGTTGATGGACTCAACATCATTCATGATTAAAAACTCCCAGCAGCCTAGGAACAGAGTGGTGCTTCCATAACCCAATACAGGGTGTCTACAAAGAATTCTAGCCTTTTTTGTTAAACAAATGTGAGCAAGAATCTCTCATCTGCAACCTAAATAGCCGTGATTCAAATATGATCAATTATTACTTAACAGTTTTAAAAACAAATACATTGGTACTGTCACTGAAAAAGAATTATTGCTGAAGTTAATTCCTCTTACAAATTAGATTGCGGATGGTTTTCATCCGGAAATTACTCCCTGATTACCCAGCACATACTGAAAACTTCATAGTCCAAGAAAAAATGCCACAGCGTTCTGGGGCGTGCCTTTTAAATACTGAAGTTTCACCTAAGAAATTTGCATTTTGGTCACTAGAACTATCAGTGCACAACAACGATTTTGAAAGTTACAAGTTAAAGGGCACCCCTGCAGCGAGGAGGAGACCTTGTTGGCCTAGATGCACACCTAGGCTGCTAACCCCAGGCGTGGACACAGAACAAGACGCTCCCCACACAAGGGCGCCGCCAACATGCCGAGAGCAACTTGAATTTGGAAGTTTGTTTGTTTTTGTTCTTGTTTTTTTTAATCAGAGGGGAAACTGAAAAAAAAAATGTTTGAGAACAGTGTTAGGTGCGTGGAGTTATTCTGCATCCGGCAACGCAGAGAAGGGGTCTGAGGCCTGCAGGCGGCCGGGGAAGCTCGGGGCGGTGAGTTGGGCTTCACGCCTCCCTGGCCCCAGCAGCCCTCTGACCACGGCCCCCGCGGAGGCCCACCTCCCCTTTCTCCTGGGAGGAAACGACGCCTATGTCCTGCAGGCCTTCCTGAAGCTCAAGGACGTCCAGGGTCCCGTCGTTGTCATGATCCAGGTGCCAAAAGATTTCTTGGTAGAGGGAGTCCATCAGGGACGTCTGCGGCACGGGTGGTCCAGACTGTGGCCCCGAGCCTCCCAGAGGTGGAAGTGACAGGGAGGAGGGGCGTCTGTGCCCACCACACCCCCACGCGTCCAGCTGGCCGAGACCTAAGACAGCAGCATCCTCGGAGGCACCGAAGACAGGCCCGCCCGCCAGACAACGCGCAGGAAGGGGAGGGCGCATCACATCGCAACGGCTCCCGGCAGAGGCGCGCGGGGCTCCTGGGGCCTGGCGGGGCGTCGCTGGGGGCGCGGCGCCCGGAGCGGGTGGCCTTGGTGTTCCAGGTGCGCTCCCAGCGCAGCCGGGCAGACGCCCTGGCTTCCACCCACTGCGGGGGAAGCCTGTGGGGACCAGTCGCGCGCCCTTTTCCCCAGGGTTTCCGGAGCGGCCTGTGCATGGGGCAGGCTCGAAAGGCAGGGAGGGCTTCTTTTGAGAGAGAAGTGGGGAGAGGGCTGCTGGGACCTGGATGTGGGCCCAGTGACTGGTGGCGAGGTCCCAGGGTTTTATCAAGTGCTTTGTCACGCCTTCCTAAAAGTCTTCGCAGATGTAGAAGTGTCGTTCCACAACAAAACCCCGCTTTCATGTCATTTATTTTTCTAAATATGGAGAACTCCTTAAAAAGTGGAATATTAAAATTCATGCAAAGCACAAGAACACACAACCACTGCTGGTGGGAATGCAAAATGGTGCAGCCAGTTTGGAAGGCACTTGCGGGGGGCGGGGGGGGGGGGGGAGAAAAAAAAGGAAGGCATTTTGGCAGTTTCCTGTAAAACTAAACACACACTTACAGTACAGTCCATCAATCACCGTGCTTCGTATCTACCCCCAGGAGTGGAAACTTCTGTAACTTATGTCTACACAAAACACGCACACAAATGCTTATAGCAGCTTTACTCATAATGGCCAAAGCTTGGAAGCAACCAAGATGTCCTTCAGTAAGTGATGGCTCATACACTGGGGTCTACAGGTGATGGAATATTATTCAGCGGTAAAAAGAAATGAACTATCAAACCATTAAAAAAGAAAGAAAAAGATGTGTAAGAAACTTAAGTGCATTTTACTAAGCGGAAGAAGCCAACCTAAAAAGGCTACATACTGGATGATTCCAGCTATCAGACATTCTGGAAAAGGCAAAACTACGAAGACAGAGAAAAGATTGGCAGCTGCCAGAGGTTAGGGTTTGGGGCGGGGCGGGGGGGGGGGACACACAGGCAGAGCACAGAGGATTCTTAGGGTAGTGAGACTAGGCTGTGACACTACAATGGTGGACACATGTCATTACACATTTGTCCCACCTCACAGAATGGACAGCCCCAACAGCAAAGCCTAAGGTGAGCTATGGATGTTGGGTGGCAACAATGTGTCCAAGGAGCTTTATCAGTTGCAACAAATGTGCAGCTCCGGTGCCAAATGTTGATAAAGTGGGAGTCTATGTGTGTGTATGGACGGCCGGGGGCATAGGGGAAATACTCTGCTATACTCTCCTTTAATTTTGCTGTGAACCTAAAACTGCTCCAAAAAGTAAGTTATTTTTTAAAAATCCATAAGGAAAATTTAACCAAGCCCTTATCTGTTAGTTCTTGCTCTGTTGACTCATCCTGTCAAGTACTGACAACATAACGAGGACCATTGCATGTTCCTGAAATACCCTCGGGTCTGCATTTTGGAGGAGGTCGAGCCATGGTTAGTCATAAGCACCACTGCGGGCTTTGCAATAAACATGTCCCCCAGCGCTGCTGAGCAGTGGCACATGTCTGATGCTGTTTCACAAGACGTGCCCAGTCACAAATGGATTCTCCCAAAAAAGAGACTTTCACAGTCCACAGGGAATGGTCCTTCCTTGTGCGCTGCAGAGAGTGCAAGGAGTCACAAAGAGTCACAGACGTTAGGCACCCAGCCAGGGCACAAGAGTGTAGGACCAACGAGAAAAGACGGATGTCACAGCCAGGGTAATAAGGACTTCATAGAGCCAAGAAGAGGGAGCAAGACAGGGAGTTGACAGTCTCGCCACCACACATGAGACTCTTCCAGCTCTTCGAGCTGCTTCCCTTCTTGCTCTTGGTATCCCTCGCCTGGGATGCCACGCTTCTCTTAAGAAACTTCCAGAAAAAGCATGTGCCTATGAAAACGTGGCAAACAACTCAGTAATAAAATTGCCTACAGTTTCCCAGGCTAACTTGTTAAATCAGCCATCCCTGAACTTGGGTACTAGAATACCTTCATTCTCTACAGAACCTGGCTCCCTTTCTCCTCCATGTAGTAATGAAAGAGTTGCCACTAAAATGGTGCCAAGATTCGAGAAGGAAGAAAAAATATCTATAAAATTCTACTGGGCAATCTTTGGCAGAGTAGCACCACCTTTTGGGATTCAGTGCACGCAGGAAATCAGAACCCCGGCTGGCTCTGTGCCCGCAACAGGAAGAACGGATGAGCCCAGGCACCAGGAAGTGGAAGCAAGGGTGGTCGCCTGACTCACTCCCAGCGACCCACTGGGAACGTCAGTGCTTCCCGTTCCCACACCTCTGGGCTCCGCGGGGACAGTTTGTGGCCCCCAAACAGGATATGCTCTTGCCCGGGAACCCAGAAAGGGTCCACTGAACTACAAGCTCCAGATGCTGCCTGGACACTTGGAGCTCCTTGTGTCCAGGGACCAAAAGGCAAGAAAAGTCTCCATCTTAGTAGGCAGGTGTAAACTGACCCCGATCGGTAGGAAGTAGGGCTGCTTTTACGCAATGGAGACAGAGAAAAACGCATGCAGCTCAGGGGACCCATGTGCACAATTCTAACGATGACTCGGTGGCATCTGAAGCAATACTGGCCCTAGAAGCTCAGAGCCCTCAGAAATGACAGTTTGCATCACACCACCAGGTAGTCACAAAGATCTGCAGAGATGATAGCTGGGTGTGAGTGGAATTTCAAATAGACAGTCATGAAGGGAAATAGAGTCCCAGGTGTGACCCGCTGATGCCACGGGGACTGTGGTTTGTCCCTCTGAGCTCCCTAAGAGAGAGAGGCTGGGGGCTAGGAGGGAACACGCCCAAACCTATGCAGAGAAGCCAACCTGCCTGGCACAGGGAGCGGTCTGTGCTGGCCAGGCCAGGCTGCCCTTCCGGAGGCCGTGCAGTGGGAGCGAGGTGGCAGGAAGCCTACCCCGGCACACTGGTGGGACCTAGGGCCCGCTGTGGCCCGCACCCCAAGCCCTCGCTCGCCCCGGGCTGCTCCACCCCACGACGAGCCACAGCAGGACACCGGCACCGGGGAAGCCGACGCCAACACGGGGCTCCCCTGCCAGACAGCATTTCCTCGGGGACTCCCCACGAGGCCGGCTGAGGCTTTCTAAGAACCACACTCTGGTCTGAAGTTCTTCCTCAAGCAGCGCTTCCTCCCTGCACGCTTCTCACAGGGACTACATCGGCATTCTGGTGTGAAGACCCCCTCGACTCACTCCTGTTCCCTGTCCCGTGCCCTTCACGGGCATTTCCCCCAATAGCCTCTTGCACACTCGACCCCATCTCTGCCCCCGCCCCTCGGGCGACCAGAGCCGACACTGTGACTACCAGGCGTGCTCCGAGACAAGAGGTGGTGACACAGGGCGTGGGCGCCCGGCAGGCCGAGCGCCCCGAGGGTCGCTTGGGGTGAGGACGACGCTTTGCACAAGGCAGCAGCCCAAATGCTGACGATGCCCTGGTGGCGACCTGGGAAATGACTTGGCGAGGGGGACACCCTGACCAGCACAATGCTTTGGGCATTTGAAAAACAGGAGGGGCTCCGTGCTACCTGGTTGGCCAGGAAGCGGCGTGACAAAAGGCGCGGTTCACCTGGAAGATACAACGATGCTGAATTTGAATAAATCAATAGTGCGGCCTGAAAACATAAAAGGGGAAAACTGACAGAATTAATAAAGGAAAGCTGGCAAATCCAGTCTTAGAGAGCGATTTTGCCACCCCTCTTTCAGAAGTGATTGGTGTAACATTATTAGATAATTTCAAGGCTAATTGTTAACTGACTTCTTATTAGGGGGCAGACATTAATTCATTTATTCTTCACAATAACCCTCTAAGAGAGGCCCTAGTATTAACTCTGTCACAGAGAAGGAACTGAGGCGAGGGAGATTTCTTTTCAATGGCCTGAAATTAACTAGTAAGTACCAGATCTAAGATTTAAACCCAGGCAGTTGGGCTAGATTGTCCCTACTTTCTTACAAGTTTATTTGTGCAGGTAAAAAGATGTTTATCGGGTAAAACTATGGAGGCAAGAAAAAGAGCCGCGGCGCGTGGGAGAGGCAGAGCACAGAGGGTTGTCAGGCGGCGCAGGCGCCGTGGGGAGGGCCCCCAGTGCTATCCCCTGCCAGACCCGGAGGAGCACAGCGCCACGAGTGCACCCGGGATAAACTGTGGCCTTTGAGTGGCTCTGACGTATAAATGAAGGCTCGCCCTTGGTTAAAAAAAAAAAAAAAAAGTGCCATTCTGGTGGGTGATGTTGCCCGTGGGGAGGCTATGCACGTGGAGGGGCAAGAAGTATACAATTAATCTCTGCACCTTCCTCTCAATGTTATTGGAAACCTAAAACTTCTCTAATGAAATAGCCTTTTTTTTACTTAAAAAATGATATTTATCTTATTTTAACCAGCATTTCCAGATACCTTTCAACAGGTGAATTTTGTTTTCTTTTCCTGCATATGCTGGAAATAAAAGCATATTTTATGCATATGTATAAAATATATATATTATAGCGATAAACATGTCATCCTGTTCTATGTGTCTGCATACACGCAGTTTCATGCAACTTATTTCGTATTTGTTCTTATGTAACCTTTGAAAAAATAAAAATGGTTTTTATTCCCTCTCAATCAATCTCGACAGAGGTTTGTCTATTTTACTCATGTTTTCAAAGAACCAACCAAGAAAAGCACATGGTTAAATAATCCATGGGTCAAAGATGGAATCACATTGGAAAAACTAGAAATACCTGCAACTAACAAACATCAAAAACACAAACTTGGAGGGTGCGGCTAACAAAGTAGTTAAAGGGATATTGTAGCTCAAAATTAATGGATTGCGCATTTAACTCAAAAAATTAGAAAAAGAGCAAAGGAGTAAACCCAAAACCTAAGGAAATAAACAGAAATTAAAGGAAGAAAATAAAAAACAAAGACAATAAGCAAAAGGAACCGGGCATGAAATAAGGAATGAAACTGCAAACACGGTCAGAACTTTTTAAAAATCATAAGTCTTAAGAACCTTGGACAAAACGGGCCGTTTCCTAAGAACCGTAACTCACTAAACCGGACTCAAGAAGCAAACAGTCGCCTGAAGAGTCCAGTCCCTACTAGACCCTGAATGAGCAAGTGGCTTAAAACACAAAACTAGAACACAGTCGTTGGCTCCGGCAGCTGAATCACTTTCCTGCTCGGGAGGCGGAGGCCGGAGCGGCCTCCTAGGTCTCCGCGGGTTGGAGAGATCCCAGGCACCTCCCCTGCGAAAGGGGCTGAGTTTCAGCGACACAGTAAAAATGACTCAGAGACCTCAAAATGACTCAGAGACCCGCCAGCCCTCCGGGTCTGATAGACCTCCGGGTCAAGGTCTATCAGCGGAATGTCGCCTCTCCTATCAGGAGGAAGTTGGGGAAAACGTAAGTGGTTTCACAGAGACCTGAAACAGCAGGCAAAGCCAGCTGGTGCGACACAGCAGCTTGGAAGAGTGGCCTCAGTGTGAGCTTTTGAAGGCATTTGGGGCTCACTGAAACCTGAGAGCGAAAAAGTTCAAGTTTGATGAACCGTTTGAATGTCTGCGAAGGCTCGAAGCTATAATAATAATAATAATAATAATAATAATAATAATAATCGTCATCATCATCCTTCTAAATGCTTGCAAATGAGTGCAAAGGCTCGGAGCTAAAAACAAACGAAACCTTGATGAAATGTCTGCAAAGGCGCACAAAGGCAGGTAAAAAGCCCTGGGGTGCATTCAGTCCAAAAGTACCGCGGCCCAGTGGGCGAGTGTTCACCGCACAAATTTTGTCTGGAAAAACCTTCGGAGCCCTTCGGAACGTGTCGCGCCACCGTTTGCGGGGGGCACCAGCCGCGCGCCCCAATCCCGAGCATCGGAACCCGTTCGCCGCCCGGATGCCCCGGCCCCGCCTCCTTCCCGGCCCAGCCGCGAGCGAGCCACCGCCCTGCGAGCTGGCAGTGCCCCGGTGCCAGCAGCCCTGCGTGCCGCGCCCAGCGGCTACCCACCTCCTCGGCGTCCTGGCCCAGGGGGATGCCCAGGTTCCGGAGCCCCTCCTGCAGTTCGCCGATGTCCACCACGCCGTCCCCGTTGCGGTCCAGCTGCTGGAACAGGGTCTGGTATCGCGTCGGCGGCTCGGCGTCCTGGCAGGCCGCCGTGGGCAGCACGAAGCCCCGCAGCCAGCGCAGCATGGTCCCGGAGGCGCGGGGCGGCGCGGCCGAGGGAGTCACCGGGTAGCCTGCGCGACGGCCGCGGGCCTGGCTGCCAGGGCCTGGCGTGTGGTGGACGCAGCGGCGGGGACCCCACCCAAGCCAGGCGGGGCGCGCGCAAGGAGGGGCCGTCGATGTGGGCGGAGCTCGCAAGCGCCCGCCCCCACCAGGGCACGGAGGGCCGGGCCAGGCGCGGCGGGGGCCGGGCAGAAAGGGGCAGGGCGGCGGGTGGGTCTCGGGGAGCCTGTGGGACCCAGAGGGAAGCCGCCGCCGACCCTGTGCCCGCTGTTCAGGGGCGCTGATACGAGGATCAGGCGCCGCAGAAGTCGTGCGCCTCACCGTCAGCTCCTTAAGGGGCTGAGCGGGGCGAGTGCGCAGCTCAGGCTCCCCATCTCCAAGCCCCTTCCCTGCCGGCTGGCGGCCCTGGCGCCCTGCCCAGAGGAGGTTCTCGCGGCCTGAAAACTGGGCCGCGTCGGGCTTTGTCCGGCACCTCTCTGGCTTTTTCCTCTCGCTCCGCAGACACTACATGTCTCTGGGCCTGTTCACAAAAATGCGCACCTGGGCTGGGAATTCTGCCCTAAGACGCCGAGGAATTAAATCTGAAAGCAATTTTTTTTCAAAGCAACACCTAAAAGTAACACAGTACTATGTCAATTATATCTCAATAAAACTGTGCAGGAAAACAGAAAACCAAAAGGGAAAAACTCAGGGGCCTTTTGCAGAAAACAGCAACGTCCATCCAGGTGGGCAGCAATAAAGAGGGTCCCCTTCGTTCTACAGCTTAGTGAGCAGGGTCTGTCCGCCTGCATCCTACCTAAGTAGCTTCTGCCAGCAGCGCTTGCCAGAAAACCACAGGCCCGCCCTCCCAAGGTGGGTGCCGTTAAAAGGCTTGGGGCGCACTGCCGAGGGAAGGCAGACATTCTCGCCATGGAACACGGGATAAGGGAAGCAGCACTGGATTGAGGAAGTACCAAGGTCCTGGCCCCTCAGCTGTGGGGACTCAGGCGGCATACCCTCCCTGAGTAGCCTCTCAGCGGTACAGTGACTATCTCATAACAAGGCTTTATACTGCACGGGAGTGCCCATCAAATGAGGTATCATTAACTGCGATCATTCTGTTCACCCACAGCTGCTCAATAGAAACTATCGTATTTCTAGTCCCCGCAGGAGCTAAAACGATCTACTTGTAAATTAAACTCTCCCACATGGTCTGAGTCACTAAACAAAGCCCAGCTGCTCAAGCCAGATCCAGGGACTCAGCCCTGAATTTACGTCCTCCTTCCCCAATACCATTTTTTATGTTTAAGACACATGTGAATCTAGAGTTTGTAAACTGACAACTGCCTGGTTAGTGAAATCATCTTGAAACCAATTTATTTGCTCATATTACTTCCAATTTCCAGTCTTGCTAAGAATTACCCTCTCCCTTTGGAAAGACCTTCACTTCGTCAATTTTTCTCTTTGTCCTTAAAACACCCTTTTGCCCACACTGTGGGTATTCTGTGCTTGAAGCAAGGCTGCTTGAAATAGTCACCCCAGACTTATTTTATTTTCATTTATTTTTGTAATAATTAGAATAATTGTCAAAATTTTGACTGAGAAAGCATTTCACACAAAAACTTGTACAGGAATGTTTATAGCAGTTTCATTCATAGTGGCCAGAAACAGGTAGAATGTTCCTGAACCAGTGAATGGAAGGGCGACCTGTGTTGTATTCATACAATGGAACACTAGTCGGCAACGAAAGGAGCGAGCCACTGATCCACCCAACAGTACAGTACAGGACGACCTGGAAGAGGACGCTCTATAGGGAGAGCGGTTGTCTGGGGCCGGGGGCGGGGGTGTCGACTACGTAAGAGCATAAGGGAGCTTTTGGGAGTGAGGGACCGGTTCTGCGTTTTGACTGGGGTCCTGGTTACACCGCTGTATGCGTTTATTAAAAGGCATGGGATTGTCCTCTGAAAAAGTCTAATTTTACTCTGGAAATTATGCCTCAATACATCTGACTTTAATTAATATCTGACTTCAATGTGGGTAAAATGGAATAAGAACTCTTAGCTCAAATGATCACTGTGAAAATCGGGAGTTTCTGAAGTTCATAAACTTGGACTCGTTCCACAAGAGTGTGGCTGCAAAGCAGCAGTATCAGGCATGTCGCTTGGGGGCTTGTTGGGAATATAGGTTCTCAGGCCCACCCCAGCCCCTCTAGGAAAGAGTTGTACCCACACAAGAGCCCACGTGACCCTGACGTACCCTCGTATAAAGCAGCACCACTCAGTGTGGTCTGCACACCAGCGTCAGCCGCAAGCAATTCCTGGTTCACAGCAAGGTAAGTCAGGGATTAAGAGGAAGCCTTTAGAAAATGTACAGCAGATTGACAGAGTAATTTTATGTTTGTTGAACCTAATACAAACTCAAGGCTTGTCTTATTTCAATGTTCTAATAACTCAATTTTACTGTATTTTACAAAAGTTTCTGTCCTCGATGGAAAATACTGTTACTGTACAGAAGAACAATATAATTCACAATGCAACTTCCTCCATGAGAGAAGAAAATGTTACACAGACCTTTCAACATCTGTGTGACGGGCGTCTCTGCCCACTTCTGTGTCAGTAATTCCCAAAAACCAGTGGTTCCTGCAGAGAAACCCTGAACTCACACTTCCCTAACCCAATTCATTTCTGTGGTCAGGACAGAAGCCTGGGATTCTATTTTTCCCAATTTCTAGCCTCCTCGAGAACTACCATCTTCTGTGGGCACAACCTGCAAACTTTATCAATTTCATCTATTTTGTCCAAAGGCCTCTTGCAGCACCTACTCTGAATCTCTTGTAGTTACGAGAACATGCTTGAATAATCATTCTAGAGGTTCAGTTTGTCCAGTAAACAAGTTTATCATTGTTATCTACTGGGCCACTTAGTTATTAGGTGGTGCTAGGTAAGACCAAAGCCTCAGCCTGTCCACAAGGACCTGGTCCTACTTCAAAATCCTAGCCGTTGCTGTCTCAAATGCCAGCGATCACAAAGCGGGCTACGTAGGAGAAACTGACCCGCCCTGTGTTGGGCAGCCGCCACCAATAGAAAGAGAACTTCATCATACAATGAAGTTTGCCACCAAAAGAAAGAGAACTTCATCATACAATGAAGTTTGAATTTGAATATCCTTGTAGTCTTTAGGGAGATGATAATCATTTTAAGTTTGACTCATTTATCATATTAAGCTAAGTGGCTATTCTGCCCATATTTTCCAAGTCACTTAGGAGACAGAATTCCAGATAAGAAGGTGAATTCTTTTAGCCTCTCCACTACCTGCAACGCACCCCCCACCACCAAAATTATGAAGACAACTTGCCATCATATAAATATGGCACTTAATTGCCACCATTTCTAAATCATGTAAATACTTTTGATTTCTAAACCATTGTGTCAAATTCAGATGGACTTCAAAACCACATACACTGCAAAGGTGTCCAAACTGCGGCCCAGGATGGCTATGAATGCGGCCCGACACAAAATCATAAATTTACTTAAAACTTTATTTTGCTCATTAGTTTTCATTAGTGTTTGTGCATTTAATGTGTGACCCAAGACAACTCTTCTCCTTCCAGTGTGGCCCAGAGACTCCAAAAGGTGGGAAACACAGCATCACTCTGAAAATAATTATGTAAAAGACTGTGTTAAGACCATCTTTGTTTTTGAAATATTATGTAAAATCTGATCTGAAGACTGACATATTTAAAACAAAAAATGCACATCTATTGAAGAATCAATAATCATGGGAATTGGACCCCTATTCTAGACTCATTTTCGGATGTAAAGCACGCATCTCCTCCCCCACCCTTCCTGAACCGCCCGTTAGAAGCCATCAGGCGGCTCGGCGAGAGCTGCCCAGTGGGCGTCTAAGCTCAAAGAAAGGCGGTGGCTCAGCGGGGCGGCCGCCTAACGGGTGGGAGACTGGCTGCACACAAGGGGCCTGAAAAACAAGCAAATATATCGAGGATAACGAGATCTAGGCTACTTGCTGACAGAGGAATGAGTTACAGATATGCAAAGGGGAAAGACAGCGAGAACCCTAGAGTGTTGGATTTGAATTAGTGGTGTTAGTGAGAATTCAGTTTTAAATATTTTTGTTTAAATATATTTTATATAGAAATACATTTTTCTATATTTTCTATGTTTTCTATATTTAAATATATTTTATATAGAAATACATTTTTCATCCTGGCTGATGTTGCTCAGTGGATTGAGAGCCAGGCTGCGAATCGAAGGGTCGCCGGTTCAATTCCCAGTCAGGGCACATGCCTGGATTGCAGGCCAGGTCCCCAGTGAGGGGTGCATAAGAGGCAATCACACATTGATGTTTCTCTCCCTTTCTCCCTCCCTTCCCCTCTCCCTGAAAATAAATAAAATCTTTTTTAAAAAAAGAAATATATTTTTCTATATTTCTTTATATTTCTATAGCTTATATAGAAATTAAAAAGTAATATAAAGGGGTCTCCATCTTTGTGAAACACACAATTTAGTCAGGGGAGACAGAAAATAATCATACCTCAGGTTCTGTAACTATAGAAGAAATTTGGGACCAAAAAAACCCATAAACCTAAAAATCTACAAAACAATAAAAATTGCTTCTCTAACATTCATTTTTAAAGTTATACTGTGCAGAGAGGAATTTCAAATGCACATTTCTCATTGTAAAGTGTTCATCACTCAGTTTGAAAATGGAAATTTTTTGCCATCTTTTAATTCTTTCATGTCTTTTTGCTACATGTACTCAAAAACTGAATCTTTAACATTAAAGTTTTTTTGCTTATATCTTTATAATGTCTTCAAACTCATGACTGTTTCTTTACATTAATGTGACTGTACTAGTATCTGTGTCATAAGTTTCAAATAGTTTGAGAGCAATTCAATTTACAGAAAGTTCATCTCTTTATCACATTTTCAAAGTGTTCTTCTGAAGGAAAAGCAGCCACATTGGAAAAATGGCCACAGTGTAATGTTGCTAGTAAGCCCCAAGAGGGTGCTGTAACTGAAGGTAAAGAATGGTTTGGGGATTAATAGGAGAACACTGGCAGGAGGTGATCAAAGGAAAGAAGGAAGATACGTGGGTATTTTCTTAGTCATCCATATAGTTATGGGTCCCTAAAATACACTAACAAAAGATACAGAACTAAAATATTATTTAACAACTGGATTATTTTGTTTTAAAAAATCATTCTCTGTCAATATTCATTCACTCTCCACTTCAATAAAACTAAACTAAATCGATGGGAGAAACGTAATATATTTATCTTTAAAAATTATCTTATATGTTGCAAAGGCAATTTATCACAGCAGCACCCTCCCATCAGCAACAAAAGCAACGGTCCCCCTGGCGTCAGGGACTCACCCGCCCCTGTGAGCGATTTCTCAGTGACTCAGTTACCTATTTAACTGAGGCACACATGTAGCTCTGTGCTGCAAAAAGAAAAGGGGGAGGGTGGTTAAAGTGCATTTTGTAACTCTTGAAGCCTTCTTTTGTCAAAATGTACCACTGTTTAAAGTTGTTACAGTATTTCTTCTGTGTTGCTGCTTTTAATTAACCCTCCCTTTTAACATCTATACAACTTCAAATGTCTTCCAGATGCCGACTCCCTGTAAGGTACTGTATTATGCGCGTGTCTACAGTCAATTTACAGTCATATTAAATCCTGATTTTTATACTTTCTATTTTCAAAGAAATTTTTAAGAACCTAAGGAGGCTATGAAGAGATAGTGTTTAGAAAATCCAACTGCCAGGAATCCTTCCCCCGACCCTCTGTCTCTCATCTCTGCTTCCCTGCAGGCTCCTACTTCTCCCACCACGCAGATCTGCTTCGTTCACGTGGTAGGAAACGTGGTTGTGACGGCTCTCAGTTTTATATCTTCCTACCTTGGGCACCAGAGAGAGCCTTTCTTAACGCTCTTTCTGCTGCTAAGTCTCCGAATCCTAATAAAGGGCTCCTTGACTTAGGTTAGGTGCTTGCTGATGGAAAAATTAACAACGTTCTTGGGCCCAAAGCACTCCGTTCCCAGTGAATGAATCCAAGTTAAAGAAAGGGGGGGGGGTATTTTCTGGAAGACAATATAGAGGCACAGATAGATCTTCCTTATTAAATTTAATTGAGTTGCGTTTCAGTGTATCAGATTATATGTAATTTGTCAAATGTTCAAAAGGCAGTTCCACTTAAAAACAAATCAGAAATATAAAAAAAGAACAGCAAAAAAAATACATATTCATTCCCTCCTCCTGAGACTCTTCCTCTCTGACTACAGATCAACTACTTTTGTTAAGAAAAAAAACTGTACAGAGACTGACACCGCTGTGTAGCATAACAGAATAACACCACTTTCCTTAAAGCTCAGTTTATACAAACAGCTATGCTAACTGCTTACAGGAAAATCACACCAATGCCCGTTTTCTCTGCCTTTCCAATGAGAGGTTTGAGAATCCCCTCCCAATGTTAGTGCTCTCAGCCATGCAGAGGTTAACAAGAAACCCAACACTCTCCCCACCACCCTCTGAAGTTTATTATTAATATTACCATCATCAATATTATTTAATTCATGTCATCACAGTTATTACAATTATGAACTGGGCAGCAAAACAACTTATCTAGTGAAAACATTTTTCACACACCCCATGGGAAAGGAAACAATGTCCTCAGCTACTCCTTTAAAAAAAAAGAAAGTGTGCGTTCCATCTTACCTTCAATTTCTTAGGTGAGCCGGGCGAGGGAAGGCATCAGGATTTAAAGCACAGGACTAGCTCAGTCGGTCGTCAGTGAGAGGAATGCCATCTCCTAGAGAGCGACTTGTAAATAATCATTGTGGGACGCATCTTTATAATTAGCTTTAAATTAAAATTCGACTTTAGAATAGTTTTAGATCTACAGGAACTCTGTGATAATAACAGAATTTGCAGTACCCATGCCCACCCCCCCATTAGTACTAACATCGTACATTAGCACGGTACGTTTGTCACAATTAAAGAACCAATATTGATAGTCCTCTTAACGGAAGTCCACACTTTATTCAGTTTCCTGTAGTGTTCGGCCTACTGCCCTTTCTCTTTACCAGGATCCCACCCAAGATGCCACATCACATCTAGTCACTGGGGCTCCTGACCTCCTGTTGGCTTGGCTGTGACGGTTTCTCAGGCTTCCCCCCCTTTTTTTTTTTTTTTTTAATGACCTTGACAGTTTGGAAGGGTACTGACCAAATATTTTCCGAAATGTCTCTCAATCGGTATTCCTTTGATTTTTTTTCATAATTATGGGACTTGGGGGTTCGGAAGGAAGACACAGAGGTAAAGTGCCCTTTTCATCACATGGTATCAATTGGTACAACTTAGTTGATGTCAACTTTGGCTACCAGGCTGAGGCCACGTTTGTCACCTTTGTCCAATGAAGTTATTCTTTTTCCCCGTTTCCATATTGTACCCTTTGGAAGCCACTGAACATAGTCCACACTTACGCGTTTGGAGTCGAGAGAGAAGGATCTGCAACAACTATTTGACATTTTTCCACACAGATTTGTCTATTCCTTCCCACTTATTTATTCGTTCACTTATTTACATCAGTATGGACTCCTGGATATTTATTTCATGTGTTGGGTTATAATCCAATGCCACTTCATTAATTCTGTTGCTCAGATTCTTTTCGCTTTCATGCCTGGAGGCTCCTCTGGTTGGCCCCCGGGCCCCTTGGCTGCCTGCCCATCAATGTGCGTGCACACGTGTGCGTGAGTGCGCTTGGGCTCTTCATACATATTTCCTTCCCGAGTCCTAGAATTGGTTGTTTCTCCAAGGAGCCCTGCTGCCGTTATTGGAGAGTGATGTTAGAAACTCCGTCTGAGAGAGTCGAGAGGCTGTACCCTAAAGAACAATGGGCTAAATCGTCATTTAAGGGATTTTACATAATATCCGGGCCATAGCCAAGGGTAGGGCGGACAGTAGGGCCTTCATGTGATACAGAAGCCCGAGCGGGAGGGCTGGGCACAGTCCTTAAGGAAGAAGGAAGTGCTGAAAGGTCTGTTCAAAGCACTGACCTCTCTAAACTTAGTTCCTCAACTGAAAATTGGGATAATATCCCCAACCCTCCGGTACGAGCAACAGAACCTTTAAAAGTGCTTTGAAATAGTTCCTGGCACATAGCAGGTACTTAATAAATTTTAATTTTTTAATTTAAAAAAAGACAGCACTGGGCTTAGACCTCTGATATAATAATTGGGTCCACCTACTTTAAAGAGAAGCCCTTTTAGAAGAGATAATTTTATAACTCAGGCAATGGTTGTAAGATCCTCATTGTTCTCACTGGCTCTACTATGTCCTCTTTCAGTGGCTTTGTTCTGCTGTCAAGAGCACGCGGCTATCACACGATTCCAAGCTCTCCACGACGCGCCACCGGTCCACGGCCGTGGCCGCACAGCTCACTGTAGCTCCCCAGGCAGCACGTGTTTGAAAATGACCTGGCCCCTTGCAACTTCCCTAATGCCCCACGGACCTCCCCATTTCCCTGTTACTGCGCAGCCCACTCATCCGTTTGCAGGGCTTTGAAAAAGTCTTTCTGCACAACTAGCACCGTCCCTGAAGCTGCTTACACCCCCACTCCTGGACTTCACGTGAGATTTGCCTTCCTCCTTCGGGGGCCTGTGGCTGAGCGTGGCTCAAGTTCCACACTTCCCTCCTCCGACTCCAGGCTCAGGTCCTCTCCCTTGGGGACAAGGTCCCCAGCTCCTCCCCCTGTACCTGGGATGGGTCTTGAGGAAAACACTCCTCAAAAATACCTTCTCTTTGTGCTAATTCCAGATTGATCTTCTCATTACTTATTTGGTTTCCCAGGTCCTTTGATACCAGGGAATGATGTGCCCCAGAGAAGGGATGAAAGTATTCCGGCTCATGGGGAGTATGAAGCTCCACTCTAATTTAATAACTGTGTGTTGTGGTACGTATCTCAATCCAGTGAGTAATTTTTAATTAATCTATCACCAAGAAACGGATCATCTTGAGGAAATAAATAACGGCACATTTTTGGATCAGCCAGACTGAGGCTCAACCCCTGGAGTTAGATTAGCTAGGCAGTCCTTCACTGAGGCACATTGTGGCCAGGCAGCCTATCACCACCATCTGGCCATGCTCACATTTAATTAATTAAATAAGAATTAAATAGTTCCAACAGGGACTAGGATTAATTTTTTTTTCATAAAAGTGAAAAGAGATATTTAAGATGTGAAAGACTGGACTCACTCAACTCCTAAGTTTAATAAGAATTGCTTCAATAAGTATTAAATAATGGATTTAATTTTTAAAGTTCTTCCTCTCAAATTTTTAGTTTTTCTACTCTAAAAGAAAATTTGTTCAATGCTAATTTGTCCTCAATGCTCTCTTGTAACAGCTGAAAATATCAAGAATAAAAATGAACCAAAACTGTTTATATTTACAAAGAAAAGTACCCAGAGAGGTAAAAAATATTTTATCACTTTTTTCATTATCCCATCCACAATCTGATAGAAGGAATCATGAAATAAACTTTCCATTTTGCTTAAAGAAGAGAAATAGACTGATCATTTGCTATACTATTAATTTTAAATGCACTGATTTTTCTCTTAGTGTATAAAACATTTTCAAGCTCAGCTTTTTTAAAAAAAAAAGTTGTTTAACTACAAAAAGGTTAACACAAACTGCTACCACTGACCAAATGTTTCATAATGTTACTATGATATATTTAAACCCAAGGAAAAGAAGTTTCAAGTTAGGGTTCAAGGGAGAGTAGTGGGAAATGTAAACAGCATTCCATGGCTATTAAGGATTTTAAATTATTAAGGAACTTTACCAAAATGATTATTTTACAGATTTTTGTAATAAATAAAATAAAGAGAAAATGTTTTAACAATTATTCGATACTTTTTTCCTCTTAGGAAGAAATCAAGTTCTCTTTACAACCCAGGTATTACCTTACAATTAAGTGATTACAGTAATGACAAAAATTTCACATTTCACATCTAAATTAATCCAAAATACCCTTTCACTTTTTCATAAGTCACACAGCCGATGATTACTGCAGGAAGCACTTTCATGACGTTTGGGGTGAAACCCCTGAAAAATCCCCTTTTTCCTTCTTTGTTATATACATCTTGAATGAGATGGATCATAGTTGTTCCTTTTTCCTCCAGTGCTATGAATTAAAAAAAAAAAAAAGTGTAATTCACTATTTTATCTTTATGCATTGGGACAGTCCAGCGACTACTGGGAATTCACAGGGACTGAGGCTCCTTCAGAGCGCTCCTCTCCCCCTGCCCATAGACAGTCCTGTGCGGGCAACAGTAGTCACCAGGCTCACGTGGCTACTGAAATCCAAATAATAAAAATTAAGTAAAACTAAAAACTCAGTTCCTCAGCGACACAAGCAACAGTTGGTCAGGTGCCCGACAGCCAGGTGAGCCCTATGGCTACCGCACCGATCAGCGTAGATATAAAATCTTCCCATTGCTGCAAGAAAATTCAATGGAAGAGCACTTGAAAGTCTTTAATAAGAGATCTCAAAGGAGCACCGGGAATTGGGTGTGACACTTATTTTGATAGGGGGATGGATAGGTGAAGGGATGGTCAGAGAGATTCCTCTCCTGGACTGCAATATAAATTAAACCCAAAACCCTTCCCAAAAAGAAGGGAGGAAGAGAATGTAAATGAATATCACTTACCAGATGATCCCTTAAAGAGTTTATTCTGGAAGATAATAATAGGATTATGTGAGGGGTATTTTTCCTCCGTGAAAAGTAAAATGGGTATTTTCTTAAAATCTAAATTCCCGACAGTTCCCTTGAGAAGAATGAAGCAGATGCCCTGCCTCCCGTTTCCTATCTCCTCGCCAAGTGGATGGGAAAGCAGAACGATGGCGTTCAACTCCACACGCGTCTAAGTTCCCGAAGCAGGATATGACCGGGACATTGCATGTTCATCTTGGGTCACTGCTGAGCCAATCTGAGGAAAGCAAGCCTTTTCTACTGCTCTGCCTGGCACTTCCTAACTATAAACTCTGGAAAAAGACCATCAGTCGCCAAAGGAAGGTGGAGAGTCCCAAACAGAACTCTGTGGAAGAACTTCACAAAAGGCTTTCCAATAACACAATAAATTCAAGGTCATGCTTTAAAAATCAGAAAGTGAGCTTTCAATTTAGCAATTCTACAGTTTTTCTGATTTTGAAATCATTCATTTCTACTCATTTAAAACGACTTTTTTAACTTAGTTTTTATTGATTCATTAAATAATGATTTTATTAATTATTAATTTATTAACTTCTTAAACGTACTTCTTCGTTTAAAAACAACACCACTCACCTTGAGCCTGCATGCGTGTTCTGATGAGGTTCAGAGGGAAGCTGGCGATCTGACCGCTCGTGTGAGACAATGTGCTACATCCCAGCAAAATCATTATCCCAGGGTCTACAGAGTTGCCTGCATAGTGTTCCAGCCAGTAATTCTTCAAAAGCTGGAAGAGAGGAAGGCGGTAAATCTCCTTTAACTACTATGCAAGTTTAAGTAGAATAAGTTCATTGCTCACACAACTTCAGTAAACGTTAATGAGTAGCTTCTTGAGTGGAGAATTATATTGAGCATTTACATTGATGTGACCTCATTTAATACCCACAGAAACCTGAGAAGTCACTAGTGTTCTCTCCACTGTATGAATTTTGTAAGTGAGGAAACTCGTTCAGAGAGACTAAGTTATCAGGTCACAGAGCTGATCGGTGGGAGCCCAGCTTGGTTGCTTGATTTTAATAACTGTCCTTTCCACAATCTTTATGAACGACTGCCTGCTTCTTGTGCAGAGACGGCTGCCCTGCTGTGCCATCAGGGACAGTGTGTGCAGATGTTTCCAAATAAATCTACTCATACAACCTGTTTATATTCTCCTATGTTTGTGTCTGTGTGGGCTCTGTTTATTTTGGGTTTTGTTTTGCTTGATGGTTTGGTGTGTAATGATATTCAAAGACCCAAGCAAAATTCTGCACAGCCTCAGCGAGATTCACGAGAGGACTGCAGGAAAGACTGCTAATCCACTCTAAGTTAACAAAACCATACTGTCCCAGCTTTTAAGAAAGATTTCTCTTTCCAAATCTGCTTTTCCTTAATGAAAGTAGCTAGATGGAATTATTTCACAATAGTGGGTTTAAAATATCACTAAGTGCTTTTAGAACTGTTCATTTATTCAATTTATTAAATTACATACTGGGCCAATTTACTATGAAATGTACAATTTGATGCTTTTGAAAAAATAAATTTCAAAAATGTCTACTCAGTGTGCATTTATTACAGTATTACAATAATAAAAAGAGAAATATGTAATATCACTCTGGCATGAACGCAAAAGATATTGAAGTATAAAAATAAAAGAATGAAGGGAGGCTAACATTAAACAGGAGCAAAGAAATTGTTTTAATAAGATCACAGAGGCAAGAAAACAAAAAGGAAAAGAAATACATGTTATAATATTCAATACTTTAAACTTTCTTTACAAAGAAAATAAACACATCTTTTAAGTGCTAAATGAAATTGGCTCTCTTTCTCAGGATGCTGGAACCACCTGCCAAAAATACCGCTGAGCTTGTGCCTAGAGCGCTGTCATTCCTGCACTGAGAACGAATGGAAGTGATACTAGTATGCCACATCCTGTCACCTGGTTCTTATGACCAAATGGCACGTTGCTAAGATGATCTGCCTGAAAGGGATACATGGCCATAAAAATAAAATGACTGGCTGAGAGGGGAGTGACCCGGAGGCCTGCCTGCCCAGCCCACGCTCTTAGGGCGGCTGCCCGTCTCCATCCTGCCTCTCCCCCCACCGTGCTCCCCACCACTCCTCTCCTCGCTTCCTGTGTCCACAACTGTGCAATACTATCTGTTTTCTTTATCACAACTGCTCACCAGGTGCTCCAAGGGAGTCGCCAAACCTGAATCCCAGGCCTCTCCCCAGAATAAGTAAATCAGAATATCTTGAGATGCAGCCCAAGAATCTTATTTTTTATCAATCCACATATAGGTAATTCTGTTAAGATCCAGAGCTGAAAACCAATATTTGATCAGCATTTTGGTCTATAATTATTATTACCAAAATACCTCTCTCTCTCTCTCTCTCTCTCTCTCTCACACACACACACACACACACACACAAACACCAAACAAAAAAATTATTATTAGCCTACCAGACAACAAACATATAAATGAAAAGCCAAATAAAACCAGTCAATTCACTTCTTGGTCAGAAGCTACTTCATGAAAAGTCATTTATGACCAGTATTTTAGAATAAAAACTATTATGGTAGCAAATCTTCAAATCGAACACACACTGTCATACTATGAGAACAGACTCACCTCATAGACAGTAAGATCTACGCCTGCGTAAGGTATAATGCCCAGCACGTTAGCGACGTAACCTCTAAAAAAGGTTCTAACACCTTCTCGTTTCAGAAGCTTCTTGCCACAATCAACAATTCCTGAATACTCTCCAGTTTTGCCTATAGCCAGTCTGGTCTTTATAACCTAAATGTGAAAGGATATAATAAAAACACATCGATCAGCTAGCAATCAGGAAAATCCTATTATATCGCAATGTTTACCAATTATCATAGAAATCAAAAAATAAAGCAGCTCTAAACATAATTTTGATTTCATACTAATTGACTCAATAACGAACTGATACAGTATAGAGCTTTTTTATAAAAAAAATTTAACAGGCGAATATAACTAATCATTGTGGCTCTGATTGATACATTCATTAAAACTCCTTTAATGGTCTATAAGGCAGCATGTTCTGAAACAAATTCATTTGAGGCAACATTTTTGCTTCAGAATAAAGCAACGACAGCCAAAATTCAAGTTTAGAAAAAGTATACGGCCATGCTCATGTGGAGACAAACCCTCTGCATGCTTAAATACGTCCTTTAGGAACTACTGTAACAGTGAGGCCCATAAACTGTCGTTTACTGTGACCAGGGCTCAGGTGTCGCTCCTGAAGCAGTGACATGCGGGCTGTGAGGGCCACAGTGACTCCAGCAGGCTGTGATCCGTGTCCCCATGCTCTTCGTACTTCTTCTGCTAGAGCCTCGCTCCTCGTCCTCCTAACTTCCATTAATTTAAGGGGGCTCTCCATAGTATGTTGGGGAAATAACTCTCCAAAGCATCCAGGACTATTTTTAAGTATCAATTTTGTCGGCTGGGCAACCCGCACGTCCTGATGGGGCAGCCCCTGAGCGGCCAGGCGGGAGCCTTTGTTCCAGGGTCTGCTCTGCAGGACCCTGCGCTTCAGACAAGCCTGTTCTGAAAACCCCGTCCCATCCGGTGCAGCGCACTCTCTTCTACCCAGGACATCCGAATGTCCCGACTCTAAGCCAAGCTCCCACGTTCTATTCATGTCTTTCATGGAATCCCTAACTGGAAATAATCTCTGCCCTTTAAATTTCCATCGGTACTTCATGTTGATCTCCCTTCTGGAGTTTTTATCTTCTGTCCTGGACCATCATCATTGGTGTGTGTGTTTTATTCCCGCTTGACTATGAGAAGCTCCGTGACCAAGGCCTGCCTGACTCGTGTCTGGATTTGCAAGAGCACCTGACACCTAGTGGGTGTGCAATATTAATGAGTAAATTAATGAAACAGCAGACAATGAAAATGTTGTCTTCTTGGTACATCTACAACATACCTTTATTCTAAAAAACAACAAAAAATCAACTAAGGCTAATTGATACTTGCTGTGAATTTAAATTCTGTAGCTATAAAATTGTTTTTTGTACAAATTCTTGATCCGGGATTCATTTGTTTCTTAAAAGTTATAATTTGAATTAAAAGCATTACTTTAGTTAAAATTGTATAATAAAACATACCTCCATGGGGTAAATACAGGTCTGAGCAGTCACACCAGCCAATGAACCAGATATAAATCTCTCAATAATTCCTATTTTAGCGCCATCAAAACTAAGCCACTTCTTATACTGTATAAATAAAAGTGTTGGAATATATAATATTACTGAAATGGAATATATAGTGTTTAATTAGTACTATAAAACTATTTTTAAAAAAGCATTCTAGACACCTGATATTAGCATCTAGTAGAATACCTGATTTTATTTATTAGAGAGATGGGAAGGGAGGGAGAAATGGAGGGAGAGAAACACTGATTGGCTGCCTCTCACATGCCCCCTGCTGGGGACCTGGCCTGCAACACAGGTACGTGCCCTGACTGGGAATCGAACCAGCAGCCTTTCAGTTTGCAGGCCGTTGCTCAATCTACTAAGCCACACCAGCCAGGGCTAGAATACTTGACTTTAATTTTTATGCAATTGTCCAAGATCATAAGAACCTTTTCCCTTTTTTCTACAGAATAAGTTAGCAACATTAAGTCACTTAAGCATATTCATGAATGTAGTACTCTTTCATAACAGGCATACAAATGACATGGAGTGGGCAGGGATTGTATCTTTTATCTCTTTTCAGCCCCACCCCTTTCACGAGAAAGGCACTTAATATCTTTCAGTTACTGGGGAATCAGGAAGAGTAACTTAATGCAGAAGTCTCTTTTTGTTACAAGGGACAGCAGTTTACTCTGGTTAGGTCAAGAAACGGGGAGGTTATTGCAAGAGCACATGTGGAAATAAGGAAAACAGAAATCAGTGCAGTGGTCAGGCTTCACAAGAACGAAAGTCGGTCAAGGTTCATGACACCGAAACTGGAAACCCATTTAGAATCCCAGGCAGCCTTAGCAAGCAGCTGATCTTCCCCCCCACCCCCCACCGCCAGGCAAGATGCTTTCCTGTTTATCTTTTCCAGGGGTCTCTCATCAGTGCAACTGAGCTGCTCCCTGAGAACTACCTCTCCAGCTCTCGGACGCGCCGCTCCCCATCAGGGAGCGGGATGGGTTAGGGCGGCAGACACTGCTGACTGCGCCCCGTGCCCGTCTTCTGTTTAGTAACAGAGCCAGCTCAGCTACAAACTGCATTTCCCTCTCCTGCCTTGCAGCTGGGCTGGGTGGCCAAGTGACTCATTTTGGCTAATAAGATGGGAAGGGAAGTTGGGTATACAAATTCTGAGACACCTCCTTAAAGACGCTTGGACTCCTCTTTCCTCCACCTGGGAAATGGCAGGTGGCTGTGACCTCTGAAGCCGTGTTTTGAAGATACCGTTAGCCCTGGACCCCTTGCCTCTGTCGTATTTCAGCTACTGTATTTTGGTATCTCTTCGTTACAACAGCTCAGAATGAACCCTAACGGGTACAGAAATCGGTTACCAGATGTGGGGTGCTGTCATAATTAACACCTAAAAGGCGTGGCCCTGGCTTTGCTGTTAGTGGGACACAGACAGTGCTGTCTAAGGAGCTGGTGTTCTGTCTGATGCTTGGTGGCAGTGCTTGATGACACCGCCTGCTGGGATCACCTGGAAGGCAGACCATGTGCTTTCTGAGACGGAAGTTCCAGGAAAACTGATTGTGAAGTCACAGAATGCTGTCAGTGCTGCCCGCTCGGTGCTGCCTTTAGCAAGATCGAGGAAACGTGAGTAAGGCATCTCTCTACGTTTCTGCCTCAGGGCCTTCTCCAAAGCCAGTTTGCAAGCAGAGGTGGAAGGGAATAGGGCTGGACAGTCAAGAAATGTGGTTTTCCAAGTTGGAAAAGCCACCTGCTTCTGTACACAGAAGGAAGGAAGATTGTCCTAAAGAGCATGCCTGTCTGCAAAATTCAGATTAAGGGTGTTGTCATCTGATTTCAGCCTATTGTTTCAGTTGACATCAATGTAGCCTCCTATAAAGTTAACAGAGAAGGGGAATGACTGAGCGCAGGAGCTAGAAAACAAAATATCCCATGAGAGATTTTTGGATGTGGTTAGTTCACATGATGTTGACTGGAAACAAAAAGACAAGAAGTATAAAAAGGTTTTTTGGGAGGGAAAAAGGTATAGTTAGCAAATCCATAAGCATAGTCTCACAGATCTCTGAAGCAGGCCCCCAAACCTCAGCAGGCAGGCAGCTGGCCGCAGCGGGCACTTCGGGAGCCCCTCACCGCACCTGGGCAGCCCCGGGCAGACTCTCACTGACAGAGCCCATCCGAAGCCTCTCACCTCCCAGCCCTTCTGCCTCGGGGCCTTCTCCAGAGCTTTCAGAGCCAGTCCAGCCCAGAAAATGAGAAACCTGAGATGTGCAGAGAGCATTCTTGGACTCTTATGTGATGCTGATAATTTATACTATTTGAAAATATATAGAGCTCATCTCCAAGTGAATTATTTAAGAAAAACTAAAATCTTAAATCAGATTAACAAATTTTAAATAAACCACTCAAATTGCTCAAAAGAAAACAAATATTGTAATGTTTTTGTGAGGGCTTCTTGCACTATGACATTGAAATTTAAAGAACTACTAATACTCACCAGTTACGATAACATACTGTAATCCATGGAACATCCCTTATAAACAAAAGCAATATGAGAACAAAAAATGATCAAATGAGAAAAAATAAAGCCATTTATATTTAAATTGGCATCTATTGCTTGTGAACACTCTGGTTTTCTCTCTCATGACAGCCTAAATTTTTTCAACATGGAATTTAAAATGTGATCGTTCTTATAAATTCCACAGATAATAGCATTTTACCTGTTCATAGGCCCCAATCTTGATAGCAGTCTCTGGTGCAATTTTAAAAACATTTGCACCATTTCCTCGCCAAAGAGAAAGAATTCCACCTTCTTTTACCATCTGCTCAAACCCACCAATTAACCTCATTTTTCTTGACCCTGAACTATGAACCTAGAAGAAAAGAGAAGAAAGGTACTCCTGGACTAATTGATATGGTTGTGCCTCATCGCCTGGTGCCCAAAAGAGCAAACAGAATCTGTAGACCTTCCAATCTCTCTAGCAACAATGATGGCCACCAGTACGTTGTCAGAAAGCCCCAGAACAAAGAAGGTATGAACCCAAGGACCAAAGTCCCCAAAACTCAGTTGCATGCCGCTCCACATGGCCCGCCCACACAAACTTCGACTGTGGCTTTGAAGCAGCAGCACTGTAATAAAACTACAGAAGAGGCTCAGAGTACAGAGGCTGCAGAATTTGGCCAGGAAAATGGAAGAAGACAAAGAAAAATACCAGGAACAGATTGCCGAGAGATGGAAGCTGTCTGCTTTGACAGCTCCTACCTCTAAATCTGAGTCAGTCATAAGTAAGATTTTCTAAGATCTTAGAAAAGATCAGACATCAATTTAAAATACTATTCATAATCCACTACCGAAAGCCACCATGTTAGAAAAAATCCAAAAAGCAATAAAACACCAAGGTATGTAAATTTAATTACACATTTAAATTCACTAGATTGTGTACTACTAATTTTTGCATCTTTGCATACAAAGTATTTGGCAAATATTAAATTTAATTATTTACAGATTAAACCATGCACTATTTTATAACTACTGTTTATAATCCATTACTCAGTAAAATAAAAGGTAATTAGACAATACTACCTTTAATGAGATAATTCTAAGTAACTTATTTTCCAATTTTTAGAAATATTCTTAGTACTTAAATAGTAGAGTAGAACCATACTATTATGTAGGTGTCAGAGACTAGAAATAATAACTAATAAATTAGATTAATGGTGTCCTATCCTTCTTTAATAGATTTAGTTATATTTCTGAAAAAAACTTCCAATAGAGTGGTTCTGTTATTTCAAATAAAAATGAACTTAAATAGCATGTAAGCATCTTTAAAAAAATTAAGATATCTTTTAATATTGAAAATATTATAAAATAATTTACATTTTCAGAAAAATGTACAACTTTAATGACTAGTATGAAAAGTGCCAAAACATTTCTTTTGAAAATTATCAAGGACTTTTCAAGTTCCTTTAAAGCATAAGGGCCAGTGAACGCGTGCGCTAACCACCTGCATCATGAGTTTCAAGCGGTCAAAAGGCGCCGTGCACGTCCGTGAAACCGCGCCAGCTATTCCTCCTGCCACCAATCGCCGCCACCAGTCTCCAGAACGCTTTTCTTGCTCGGTAAATTCATCTGGGATAGCTATGCTCTCCCCTATGTCAATGATCTGATAAAATGCAAAAACAGAATTAGACGGTAGAAAAAAGTGTGAACACTTGATAAATTAAGAGGATAACTTTTTACAGAGACCAAAAACCACAAGACTTTTTTTCCTAGCTCATCTCCTGTTAATGGAGACTGACTGTGTTCTTAGCACTTGTACTAGACCAAAAGATGTTTAATAATGCATTCACATATAGATTTAATATAAAACCAACTCCCACTGATGAAAGAAATTAAAGAAGAAACAAATAAATAGAAATATATGCTGTGCTTATGGACTGGAAGAATTAATATTGTTAAAATGTCTCTACTACCCAAAGCCATCTAGATTCAATGCGATCCTCAAAATTCCAACAGCATTTTTCACAGAAATACAAAAGAAACCCTAAAGTGCACATGGAACCACAAGACCCTGAACAGCCATAGCAATCCTCAGACAAGAGAACAAAACTGGAGGCATCACACTGCTGCTTTCAAACTGTTCTATAAAGCTATCGTAATTGAAACAGTATGGTAATGGCATACAGATAGATACATAAATTAATGGAACAGAACTGAGAGCCCAGAAATAAACCTTCACATATACAATCAACTAATTTTTGACAACAGGGCCAAGAATAACTGATGGAAAAGGATAGTTAGTCCCTTCAATAAATTGTCCTGGGAAAATTGGGTCATCACATGCAGCAGAATGAGACTGGACCCCATCTCAGACCACTTACAAGAATTAACTTGAAATGGATTAAAGACTTAAATATAAGATCTTAAACCATGAAACTCCTAGAATAAAACACAGCGAAAAAACTCCTTGGCATTGGTCTTAGCAATGGTTTTTTTGGATTTGACACAAAAGTATAATTAACAAAAGCAAAAATTAATAAGTGGTACTACATCAAGCTAAAAACTTCTACAAAGCAAAAGAAATAATCAGCAAAATAAAAAGGCAATCTATGACACAAGAGAAAATATCTACAAATCACATAGCTGATATGGGATTAATATCCAAAATATATAAAAACCTCATACAACGCAATACAACAACGACAAAAACAATCCAATGAAAAAATCGTCAAAAGAACTAAAGAGACATTTTTCCAAGGAAGACATACAATGGCTGACATATATGAAAAGACGTTCCATATCACCAGTCATCAGAGAAATGCAAATCAAAACCACAATGAGTTATCACCTCATACCTGTGAGAATGGCTATTACCTAAAACACAAGAAATAAGTGTTGGCAAGGATGTGAAGAAAAGATGATGTGAATATGCATGCACACACACACACACACACACATACACACACCCCACATATACACGTATATACCCACACAGATATAAACATGTGTGTATATAATATAAACATATATGCATATATAATGTACATGTATACATATTATATATAATATATACACACATATACATATATATCCACAATGGTTTATTATTCGACCATGAGAGAGAGGGAATTCCTGTTACTTCCTTTTTTCTGGAGGGACTTTGAGGGCATTGTGCCAAGTGAAATGAGTCAGATAGAGAAAGACAAATAGTGTGTGATATTACTTGTATGCGGAACCTAAAGAAGCCAAAGTCACAGAAACAGTGGAATGGTGGTTACCGGGAGTGGAGTGGGGAGTGGAGGAAATGGAGAGGTGTCAGTCAAAGGGGCAAAAGCCCAGTTGTGACATGAGTAACTTCTGGGAATCCCACGTACAGCAATGAACAATGTAAGCATGGCGACTCTAGTTAACAATACGACATTTATTATATACTTGAAAGTGGTTAGGAGAGTAAATCTTAAATGTTCTTACCATAAAACAGAAATAGTAATTATGTGAAGTGATGGCGGTGTTAACTAACCCTACTGCGGTAATCATTTCCCAGTGTGTATCCTGTATCATGTTGTACCCCTTCGCTTACACAGTGTTATATATCAATTATATCTCAATAAATAAGAAAAACAAAGATACAAACAATGCAGAGAAAAACACATGTGAACATATAACATTTATATGAAGAAATGTATAAAATGCACTAGGAATCAATGAAATGCACATTAACCCAACAAGATACCACTTTATGCCCAACGGAATGGCAAATATCAGAAAACTGGATAATACCAATTAACAGTAATATGTAGAACAGCAGAAACTTTCCTGCATTGCTGAATGAGCTGGCCTAGCAAGCCATTCTGAGAAATAACACAGCCAGATGGTATTCCAATAAATTAAAACTGGATACCTACCCTAGTAAAATTTATAAATGCATGCTCCTTTTGACTCAGAAATCCAGGAGACATTTTTTAAGATACACAAGAAAAAAGCATTTTTTTGTGGGTAGGGAGCTGGAGAAAACCTACATTTCTATCACTAGGGGAGTGGATGAAGGAAGATGTGTTAAATGCATACTATATAGAAGATAGAAGCAATAAACTAGATGAATGTGTAGCAAATCTTAAAATCATAATGTACTGTGAACAATGTAAGAAGATGTGGCCTTTAGCACAATACTATCCATGAAAATTAAAAGCACACATATGAAACAACACTGTATGATTCCAAAGAATATATACATATCTAAGAACACAGGTGAGACATTAGAATAAGTGTCTATCATAACAAGCAACAGCTACTGAATACACGTTACCTGTTCAGCCCTTTTCTAAATACACTAATTCTCAGAACTCTTACCATTATCTCCAGTACATAATTGAGGAAACTGAGGCAGAGAGGGGTCCTATAACTAGTGGGTGGCAGATATGAGATTCAAACCTAGACAGTCTGACTCCAAAACCTGTGCCCTCAATCCTCCCCGAGTGTGTATGAAGAGGAGGTGAGAAGTCACAAGCAGGTACAGATAGGCAAACGTCATGAACAAAGGACTGGCTTAACCCCCTGCAAAAAAAAAGGGGGGGGGCCTAATTCCAAAATCTCATTCTTTCCTCACAACTCTGAGGCAAGTGGTTATATAAAAAGAGCAGGGAGATGACATATTTGATCCATTCTGATTCTAAAATTTTGAGCCTAATCTGACTTTGCATTTCCCATGACAGAAGCCCAAATTGAGTCCATCGTGAATAAAGAAAAGCACATTATTTTTCTACTTTTCTAGGACAGTGAACTGTAAGAGAATAATTTATTCTCAACACAAAGTAGGTCCCTTTCAGCAAATGGGTGGGTATCTATCTTAAGTTCCAGGTTTTAGCAAACGAAGAAATCGTGGTAGCTGTGTTTGTATGTATAACAGTAAGCTCTTTGCTAAATTAGCAAAACACTATTAGGAGGGACTGCTGTTAGGAGAGACTACTTTAGCCACTGAGGCTGGAAGTATTATAGGGATTATGTGATTGTGAAAACAGCTATGACATTTATGGCAAATAAACATAGAGTAAAATACAAAATAATCTTACAGTAGAACGCTTCCAGAAACCAGCAATTTCATTGATATTTGTTGCCGGATGAAGTAAAAAGTAGTACTTCCATTCATCCCAGTCTATTGTCATTGTTCCATCACTATCAATGCTGAAATTTAAAAGAAAAAAAAATAGTGCTTACACCATTTATCATGAGGTTGGCACCATTGTAAAAAGTAAGTCAATGCCTCTTACACATTTATTGTGGAAGCCACTCCTTCAGGCTTCATGAGTATTGCTGTATTTTCGTATTTGAACAGACTTTAGTGTTTAGAAGAATTGAGAATATAAGTTACACCCAGTGTCCCCTAATGGTAACATCTTACCTTATTATGACACGTTTGCTACAATTAATGAACCGATATTGATACAGCATGATTAACTGAAGTCCCCACTTCGCTCAGCACCCCTTAGTTTTTAAGTAACGCCCCCTCTCTGTTTCGGGGCTTCCATGTCCGCACCCTGTCGCCTCAGGTGCCTCTTGGCTGTGAGAGTTTCTCATGCTGTCCTTGTTTTTAATCAAACTCACATTTTACCATGTGAAATTGAGGATTTACTTAATTTTTAAGCATCTCAAATCAAAAAATACATCAGATGTCGTTTCTTTAAAGTCTGAGTAAAAGGTAGAATTAAGTGAAATGCTTTTTCAATTGTATCTTTCTTAATGAAAATTCGAAGAGACAAAATCCATTCTGCCAACAAAAAGATCAGTACGCCGTTCAGTTCCAGCCAACGAGAAATAATGGATGTAGAATTGATCCTCTCCCTATAAACAATTATGAAACTGTATACAATATACTGTATACATGGCCAGATGCTGAACTATGCGAGACTCCATCAGTCTGACAAAAGTAGTTACTAGAGGGCTGCGCGCTTCATGGGAATTCTGTAACTTAGCAATGTTGGAATAAAGGAAGTAAGGGAGAGAGAGAGGGAGGGAGAGAACAGCTACATTTATAGAAATTAGTTTCTAATGTGGAATATTAAACAAAAATGAAAACTATTAAAAGGCTGACCTTTGCAGAATATTTTTTGCCTGAGCTTCAGAAACATGTACACCCAGTAATTCCAAAGCAGCAATTAGTTCCGAAAGGTCTATTACTCCTTTAAAAAAGTGAAGAAAAAAAAATGTCCAGTTAAAGTACCTGAGAAGATAACAAGGCAAAATATACTTAGAACACAATAGTCTGAAACACTCCATGTGTTTTATAGGCCTATATTCACAGTCCTACATTCACAACCCAAAACCTAAAAAGCTCTAAAACTAAAAGACGTTTTGTCAATTATCCTTTAATGAAAAAGGGCTTTCCATTCCAGAATGAGAAAAATAAAAACAAAATGTAAAACGTTTTGTAAATGTGACAACAAAACCCACTTGGTGGCAAAACATGCCTTTACCTGATGTGAAGTTAATTTTAGTCAATTATTTATCTAATTTAGTGTTATTCTTCCTTTGTTTCACTGAAGGAATATTCATGGACAGTTGACCTTTAAACAACATATGACTGAACTGTATGGGTTCATGTATACACAGGTTTTTTTCAATAAATACAACAGGGGATTCACGTCCATGGGTTTTGTGTCCCCGGGTTCAACCAACCTCTTATTGAAAACAGTATTTTCACACTCCCCACCATGGCTTCACAAGCATGAACCACATGTACTGTTTTCAATCCACAGTTGGTTGGATCTGCGGATGTAAAGGGCCAACTATAGTTAACTTTTTGAAGACTCAAGAGTTATACTCAGATTTTTGACTGCATGGGGGTCAGTGACACCCAAAGCCCTGATGTTTGTCAACTGTATATAATTACACAGTGGTGCCCCAGACCCCACCTGGAGCATTAAATAATATATCATATATGCACTGTATTGCTTTTCTAAAAATTCAAATTCTAAGTTTCTAAACATATCTGGCCCCACGGGTTTCCAAAAAAGAAAAAAAAGATTGTAGATCTATGACAGATCTTGATTATTGTACCTACTTGAAAAAAGTAAAAAGTACCTACTTTACAAAGTAAAAAGCTGTTTCTGAAGATCTGAAAATAAGGCCACTCACTATTTCATAAGGAAAGCTTAAAAGGAAACAATATTCTTAAGACACAACACGACACTCTTTTTAACACAACCACATCCTATGTTAAATAACTCAAATCTAATAATATATTTAATACAAGCCTACTATGCATTTCAATCTCCCATTGCTGGATGTTGTAAGGGAAACATTAAGTACTCCATATCCTCCTCAAAGCCTAAAACACCTATCTAATCATGTCACTCCCCAAGTCCAAAGTATCTTGGGTTCCTCTCTTGGGTCAAACGAATAGTTGAAGATACTCAGTCTTTTAAAATAGGAAGACAACTTTTGTCATGTTAAAAAATTCAACTCTGGTGCCACCTAGTTTAAAAATATGCAATGTCAAAAAGCTACTATAAATTCAGTATATCTTCAATTTGTATTTGATCATGAGTATGCAGGCTGAGCCTGGGTCAACTTGCTGGTTCTTCTCCTGGTCTTGTTCTGGGGTACTCATGAGAATCCAATTCCATGGAGGTTCAACTGCGGCTGGAAATCCAAGATGGCTTCACTCACATGTCTCAGCTCAGATGGGAATGTAGAAGAGTTGGGGACAAGATGCCATCTCTCTGCATATGGTCTTTCCAGATGAGTAGTTAGTCCTCCTTTCTGGTGACTCAGAGTATTCAAGAGGGAGCATTCCAAGAGGACAAGCCCCAGTGTGTAAGGACTTAACAAGGCTTGGTAATGTCCTAATGGCCAAAGCAAGTCCAATGGCCACGCCCAGGTCAATGTGGTTCGGTGCTACACAAGGGCATAAATCCTGGGAGCTGTGACTCATGGGACAGCCAACAGAAAGAAAAATTACTTAATCCTCATTAACACTGGTATTCTCTGAAAAATACAGTTGCTCTGAGAAAGAAGATACAGAAGACAAAGTCGCCAGAACAGACATGGCAGACAGGAAGAGTCCAATAAATGGTAGTTCTTTTCCCACCATTTCCTCAATATCTACAAAACTCCATCTAAAAAGAGAATCTTAACGGAGAAACAATGTTTAATAATTACTTCCTTCACACATTTACGATAGCGTTCCATGGACACTGGCTGAACAGGAGCAGGGGCCCAGGCACTTCTTGGCGAGAGAAGTGAACGGGTCGGCCCACAGGCGCCTCAGCGCCCCCAGCTAGTGAGCCGGGTAATGCACAGGCCCACGGGCATCCTCTCCACCCCACTGACTACGAGGCCCAAAAGCCTCCTGGGGGAGCGGCAGGGGGGGGTGAAAATGGAATTCTGCCTACTATAATGTTTAACACATACAAAAGCGAGAGTCCCAAGAGGACCAATGATGTTGAGAGAGGCAAGAAGGGAAAGGTCTGATGCAGTGAGCCAGATCCAGTAACAGAATTTTGGGGGAAATGTTGGCTCCAAGGTCAATGAGTAACACCTATATCCAAAATCATCCTATTCTAACCAATGTGGAAGCCCTTGCACACTCGGGAGAAAGGGGCTGCATGTTCGCGTGAACTGAAAAGCTGAGCTCTGAGGCCCAAACTATTCTGGTATCCGACTCCGTCTGATTCAGCAACAAACCAAGACAGAGGAATGTATTAGTTCCCCAAGGCAGCTGCAACAAAGGCCACAAGTTCAGCAGCCTTTGTCCCTGTGACCAAATTTCCCCATAAGGTCACATCTAAGGCAGGGAGTAAGACTTCAACACATCTTCGGGGGGGACACAATTCAACCCGTAACAAAGAAGGGTATTTTCTTTCCTGCCCACAAAACCATCCAGGCTGAAATAAACGGGCTGAGCGCCACACCAAGGTAGCCACTGGGGCAGCCGCAACGACGACACCCGGAGCAGGCAGCTCCGTCCGAGCAGGGCCTCCGCAGGGCTGCCGGAGCCTGAGCTCTCAGGCCCATGTGGAGAGCAGCACAGGCAGCAACAGCAGAGCTTCATGCCTATGTTGCAGCTCAGGTGCTCAAAACAAATGAAGCCAATGGGACCTGGGACACTGGCTCTACCAGAGTGGTACCGCTGCAGGACTTCAGGGGTGAGCGGTGATGTCCCGGGTGGGGCAGTTGAGGCAGAAATCAAAGGATCTATATTGCTAATCAGTATGTCAGTATGTTACTCTGGGATTTCCATTCTGCCTCAGAAAGAGCATTCTCTGTTATTACCAACACCTACCAGCACTGGTATGCAATTTTACCAGGGACAATGGTAGCATAATATCTTTACCAGTGGCATCCTAATTTCATCGATTTATCTGACACGGAGGATTTCCAGCTTCCAAATGATGATCAGTAACCATCAACGAGGTAGTGAAATTCTAAAACAGCACAAGAGCGGAACTATTGGTCCTCAGTCAGCAGCAAATGATGACCAAGCCTAACTCACAGATATCACTAAGTAGCACTGCTAATGCTTCTGTGGCTGCTATTTTAGTACAAGGGCCCAGAAAGGCCTGAACTTCCTTCTGGAAAGTGAATGGAAGCTTGAATCGCAGTGGTTGGGCATTAAGGGACATGAAATTTAACCACGTGGGTGGTCAAAGGCCTCAGACATTCAGGTTATGTTTTGTTTTACCCATAAATACATCCGTGGAATCCCTAAATCACTTTCCTAATTCACTTGGAAAATTTTTAATGAACAATAATTAGAATTCACAAAACTTAAAAATTAACATGTTTCTGAAATAGGGTATAATTGGGTTCTGATTATCCCCAGTGGGTTGGCCAGATACAGATGCAGAAGTGGTCGTCTACCCCTACATTTAGTCTCTCAGATTTGAGGGTTTGTACCAAAGAAAAACAGAGCATATACCTTTCCTCTGCAACTCAGCATGGATATTGATCACAGCACTATGTATAAGAGTACAAAATTGGGAACATCCTAAATATCGAACAATATGGGAATGATTAGATAAGTCTACTCATAAATGGAATACTTTAGAGTCATTAAAAACTAGGCTTGTGAAACATATTAAGTGAAGTTGAAATGCTTACATTATAACATTAAAATAACAAAAATAGGACACCAAACTATACAGTGTGACTGCAATTTCATTCAAAGAGAGAAAAAGAAACCGAGAAAAAAAAAAAAACAGACAAAAAGTCTAGAAGAAAACATAAAAATATATTAAAATGCTAAACCTGATCTCTAGGCAGCAGGATTACAAGTAACTTTACTTTCTTTCGGGAGCTTGTCCATGTTTTCTAACTTTCTTGTACATGAAAAATTTTCAAAATCAGTAAGAAAACAATAAATGTCATTTTCAAAACTACCATGATGCTTTCAGCTCATATATTTCAAAAGAGTGGAGAGACCTTCTCACTAAGCCAAGAAACCATAAATTCAGAGGGCAAAATTATTTTACTAAAAAGATGGTAACCACAGAGAAATTATAATACTAATAAATATACTTTATATATTATTCTTAGGAATTAAAAAATACTGCTAAACAAGCAAGAGAATTGAATCTTTGATAGTAGGAGTTAGTTAAAGGCTAGTAAACCTATACTTTCGTACTGACAGTTATTATTCCTGTTAAGCTAATTGTGAATAAAACGCACACATACACACCATCATTATTTTTGTCCAGACTATTAAATGCCAGCCTCATTTTTTTCTCATGGTCTTTAAGGTATTGCATAAATTCTTGAAAGTCCAATCCTGAATCATCATTGGTATCTCCAGCTCTAAAAATGTCCTGCAAGAAAGGAGAAAGCATTGCAGACACATTGCAAGCAAAGCCCCTACTGAACATGGGCGTACTTCACGCGCGCCGATTTCCATCAGCAGCCACTGGCCTAGCTTTTCAGTCACAGCTACAAGGCTAAGGACATTAAGTAATTTTTTTCTTTTTAATTGGTGCAATACTAGAGTCAATAGCCACCATGTCATTCCAAATAACTACGAATGTTAGAAGTATTTACCTGAGGTTATCAATGAATGCTAAGTACCTTAAAAGAATGAAGATTCTAAGACACAAAGGTTTTGCCATTAGAGACCTCACACTCCATTAGTTAAAAGGGATAAAATATGTGAAATTCTGGTATGATCCACAGCTTCATCGCTTCAGACCAAGCCTTGTGAGGTAAGAGCGTATGTTCAAGTCTCACTGTGGTGTTAGGCTTTTGGAAATAAAAAATTAATAATTTTTAAATGCCTATCATCTGTATTTCCATGTCTTGTTCATCTTTATACCGTCAGTGCCTGCCACGAAGTATGGCACAGAAAGGCCCTTAGTATTTGTTGAATTGAAAAATACTGCAAGGTGGGCCCTGAACTAGGTGCTCAGGAAAGAAAGACAAGATACAGCTCTGCCCTGAAGGAAGTTACAGACTAGCAGAGACCGCTCACACAACCAAGGAAAAGCTATTAGGTGACATAATGGGAACGTCCTCAAGGCACAGTGGAATTTCAGGGGATTCGGGAGAGCCGTGGCAGAGGAGAAGTGCTTGAGCTGAGACTTGCAGAGAAAACAGGCATTAACTGGGCAGACAAATGGGAAAAGACATTGCAAGAATACGTGACAGCATTTGCAAGCAGGCAGAACTTATGTAAACCACAGCAGACACAATAATAAGGAAAGTCATAACAACAGCTAATATTTGTTGAGCACTTCTAAGCATTTTATATATAAACTCACTTAATCTTCCTAACAACCCTAAATAGTTTCAATTTTCTAAGGACAAAATACAAGGGAGAAAAGTAGGAGACAAGAGAGGAGGAGATATCATGAGAGGAGTTATAGTCCACAAAGGAATTTCCAATCAATTCCCAATGAGTATTTTCCAATGAGTGGAATATGGTTCTCACATGGAAATAGAATTAAATAACAGTAAGTCACAGTGTGAGAAAATTATCGTGTTTCAATTACCTTTCAATCCTTCTGATAACATCATGGAGAACATCTCAGTTTTGTGCTAATATGCCTCAATACTTGCCAACTTTTTAAAAAATCGGAAGATAAGCCTCAGGTTCACCTTTCTCAGACAATATAGAATGTAGCCAGAAATAAGTAACACTGATTTATTTTTATTTTGTTTAGTTTAGGTTTATTTTTAATGAACTAGTGCTCCAGCTATAGTAGTGTTAAATATTTTTTTAAAAACTCCCTGACATACAAATGAATGTCTTTACTCAAAATAATAGGTAACAGTAGAGTCAGTTCTTGATTACAGCAAACCTCATGAAGTCGGGAAAGATGGCTGTGCGTGACAGCGTTCTACTGATGAGCTCTGAGCAGAGAGGCGCCATGAGCAGTGTTAGAGAGGCCACTGCAGCCGTGGACTTTGGTGGGGGAGAGAAAATATCAAAAAATAAAAAGATTAGCAAGGAGACTCTTGCAAAAATCCAGGGGAGAAATGAGCCTCTGACCTAGGGGGGAAGACGGTAAAATGGCCGCAAGACACCAAAGGTCTTTAGAAAGTGGGCGGTAACTTGATCACAGAGACAACACAGTGGAAGGGAAAGACAGGAACCGAGAACTGTGAAGAGGCTCTTTGGGTTTCCAGGTATACAGTGGGATCTTTCTCCGAGAGCACTCAGATTTGCAAGAAAAAAAGAGTTTGATGCCATCATGTTAATTGGACTAAATGACCATGAAGTAGCAATATGTTGGCGGCCTTGTTAAGATACATGCACTCCAGAGGGTGAGAAATAATAGAGACAATGAAGGTTTGGCGGTGTACCATCTCAGTTAAGTATTTCCAGGACCAGTGGTAGGGAAAATGTTGCATGGAGTTTATAGCAAGCCCCTCAAAAAAGAATCCACAGCGGAAAATTTTAACAGTTCCCAGCATTCTATAGGGCCATGGTAGAAACAGAGTGCTTAACTACGGGACATCAAATGGCCACCTGGCCAGAGGTGCCTATCCTGAGTTGGGTTCTGTCAGACCCAGCACCAAGTCGTAGGTTTTGGTGAGCCCGGCAGCCACCCGTAGGATGGAACAGCACGGCTCCGATCAAACAGAAGCAGAAGCAGAGAGCACGAGCACATCCTCTAGGCCGGTGCTTGCCTTACTCGCCTGCCTGCAGAGCCTCGGTCATCAGGACAACCCAACCAACGGTTAACAAGTGTATACGTTACGCTGCCTCGGACCAAAGATCCTATTACATAACAGAGGGGCTATGTAATGACCACAGGACCCACCAGCCCTCGCAGACAGCACTATCCGGGAGCTCCTGGCCTGCTGCGACAGAATATGTGATCTTCTTCCAAGTGGCAGCTTGGAGATGATCACCTTCCAGAACAGGCTCCCATTCCTGAAGACACAGTTTACACCCTCTGTCGGTGTTCACGCTCCTGTTCCTATATCCCTACCATTCCTCTCTGATTCCTACCTCTCTCTCGGGTTTCTTCTCGGATACCCCTTCTCAGGTTAACAGAGGCCTGAGATACTTGACAGGCTGAGGTGCAGCGTCCTGGAATTCTGGGCTAAGAGAAGGAAGTAGAACCAGAGACTGTTCTAAGAGACAGGGCCAGAGGCAAACTAAAATAAATCCACGTAGATGGTTTGATTAAGTCATGGGTCCAAAGGGACTAAGCAGAGTGGGAGGATATGGGTATGACATAATGAGATAAAAATGAATTCAGAGCAGTAGGTTTTGGAGCACACAACTCTTTACATATCATTATATACCATGATATATATATTTGTGCCTATATAAAAAAAAGTTTTTATTTCCCCAAGAGCACAGGACTCTTAAGGAATTCCCTGAGCCATGCGAGTGTTCGGACTTGACACACACACCTCACGCGTACAGAGCTGAAACAAGCGGGGTAGTATCGGAAGGCTGTTTAGCATTGATAGGAGGGAAATAGGATAACTTTCTCTTGGTATCCTGACACTTCTCTCTAAACAGTTTGTAAACAATCAAGTCAAAGAGAAGGAAGACATCCCTAATTTAGGCGAGGTACTAAACAGTCGGCTGACGTGTAAACCCGTGGATCGAGGTCTGACTCGCCCCAGACCCCGCGGAGCTCAGGAAGGGGCGGCAGCTCCGGGGGCCCATCTGTGCCTGACTCGAGGTGCGAAGGTCCTGATTAAAGAAGCCTTTTACTCCTGCATGCACGAGGGCTAACACAGCTCCTGAAATTCGGGGCGGGCTCAGTAAATGCTGAGTGCCCAGGCACCCACTCAGCATCTCCCAAAGCCCAGGAGAAGGCTGCGGTCACTGCGGACAGTGACTGTCTTACGGAGGCTGGGATCGTGCTTCCAGGGGCTGCATTACTGGCCGTGGGGGGCTCGCAGAAGAGGATTCCACCCCTTCCTACATGGGCCTTTGAAAGAAATTCCAGAAAGGGCGCGTCTGGCTCCCCCTCCACCCAACGTCTGTCCAGATGACCAGTGCCACCTTCTCGGTCAGTCACCTTCTCCGAGTGCAGGCCAAACGTAGAGCTCCAGTTCTTCAGCCCTTCCCGCAGCTCCGTGATGTCCACCACTCCGTCCCCATTGCGGTCAAGGTCTTGGAAGAGGATCTCGTAGTTGAAGTAGTCCTCGTCATCCTGGCAGGCCGCCGTGGGCAGCACGAAGCCCCGCAGCCAGCGCAGCATGGCGCCTCCGGGGCCGGAGGGCGGCGGCGAGGGCCTCAAGGCCGCCTCTCCTCTGGGCGCAAGCGAGGACGTCCCGCCCTCCGGCCTTGCCACCCGCCGCCTCCTCGACGGCGACGGCGACGGCGACGGCGACGGCGACGACGCCAACGCCAGGAGGCTGGTCCCAGCCTCCGGCGCGGCCATGGCAACAGCCCGACCGAAAGGCTGCGGTTCCAGAGCCTCCTGGGGCAAAGGTACAGGCGCCTGGGTGCTCTAGGACACTCAGAAAGGACCCTCAGCCCTGAGGCGTCGTGGGAACCTGGCTGAGCGTCGCGAGAGTTGGCCCACCGGAAGCTGGAATTCAAGGCGCCAAACGCGGCGAACTTCCGGTCCATGGTGGACCCGGAAGCAGAGGGCTCTGAAGTGAAAGGAAGTCTATTCCCCTGGCGGCACCCGCGGAGCGTTCGCGTGTCCAGAGTCAATATATGGAAACTTATTAAATATTGTTTCTCGTAATGAATTTAATCAGTCTCCTCCCAAGAAAATTATTTTTACAAAACCTGGTGTCCCCTCCCCCTTCCCAAACTGTGTGTCTGTACACACACTCCCATCTGTTGCGGGGCCTGATAGTCGCCTAGAGAAGATTGAAGCACAACAGGGGCTTTTTTTGTTTTACTCCAGGGGGTCAGCTGATTAAAGGTACGGCTGTGGACATGAGGATCTTCAGAAAACACAACAATGAGTACTGATGTCATTTATTAAGCTTCATAAGTCTACGCTATAGCAAATGGTTTAAGGTTAAAACGTAGTAGAGACGCCTCCAAGGCATTAGATGAAACCGGAAATGTGAGTAGCAAGTGCGCCCACGGGAATGCCCTGAGGCGGAGCATTCCGGAGCAGGCAGCGCTCCGGAGCTGCAATTCCCCAGCCGGGGGACACCCTTGGGGAGAATGCAGGGTCAGCCATCTGCAGCCAGCCACAGACCTCTGAGGTTCCCAGGAGCTCTTGGAAGTTGGGCACGGGCCACAGGCAGTGGGCTCATTGGGGAGTTCCATGAACGTTGCAATAATGCAAGCAGGCTTTTGGCACGTTTCCATGGCTTGGCCCCCATTGAAGCAAGGTGGTCAAGCCTTCGATGTGTTTCACCGGAGCAGCTCATTGATGGCACACAAATGTATGGAAAGTGTTCCGAAAGCGGGGTGACGGTAAGGACATCATCTGTGCCCTGAGGTGCCCACCCGTATCTCGCTTTTGGGACACCCTCCCGCCCCCCGCAACTGTCCCTGCGGCCTGAACGCACCGCGGCCCACCTCCTCCCCCTGGCCCAGAGGGATGCCCATCCGTCCCCGTGGTGGTCCAGCTCCTGGGAAAGTGCTTCAAAAAGGCTGGCAGAACAGCATCCCTGGCCAGCCATCTGGGCAGCGGGAAGCCCTAAAACAGGCAAGGCACAGTCACCAGGTGCGCAGCGACCCTGAAAAGTGGGAAAGCCCCGGCCCAGGCCCAGCTGCCGCGCTGGATACCAGCTGCCAGAGAGACTGCGAGGGAGAGGCGCCTGCCTGCCGCCCAGCAACTGCCCCTGGAACACGGGCCCCAGCCTGTGGATTCCCAGTCAGGGGACAAGAAGGGCCCTCGCTTGTGAACAACCTGGGTTTCAGATTTGCTTCTGCCCGGTAGCTGCTTGGAACCACCCCCCTCCCCCCTTTTTTTTTCCAGATTACTATTTGGCCGGGGCTTCCCAGAAGCACAATTTTCATTCAAACTCCAAACTGGCTAAGGATAGTTCCATGGTTATACACTTTTATGGGAAATTTTTTTCAGTTTTGTGCTTACAGCTAAGGTGGCTATAGATCAGCAGCCATGGGGCCGTCCTGGGCCGGTTCTCTCTCTTCCTCTTACTAGGCCAAGGCTTCCTCTCTCACTCCATCAGCACCTTTGGTCAGAACTGCCAGAATACCGGCGTCCGCTGTGCTACTGTGACATAGAATTTATTCTAGTCCACTCCCCCAAAGGCTCTGCACCTGTTTGTTCTACTTAGTATACACAGCTTAGGCGGGATGGAGCAGTAAGACAGAATGAACAGACGACATCCACCTCTGGACTATGTTTATGTGAAACAGAAATAAACTCAGACAGAAGCCACCACTGTTTCTGGTCTTCTGTATAAACAATAAACATCCTTAATTAATAAAGCGCAACTAGTCAAAATAACGTAACCAGAAAAATGCCCAGCTTAAATTATACTCAAAATGACTATGAATCTAGCATTGAAACTGTTCAAATAAATTAAAGTTAAAATTAGCATTTTATATGAAATCAATATGTTGGAAATAACTGTTTTACTAATTTTATATAAATCCATACAGTAATGATATATATGAAACAAAGAACTTCATAGACTAACAATAAAGGAAGATTTGTATAATTATGCAAATTGCAAGGACCTATATTCGAGATTACTCTATCTGGCAAAGCTATCATTTAGAATGGAAGGGCAGATAAAGCACTTCCCAGATAAGGTCAAGTTAAAGGAGTTCATCATCACCAAGCCCTTGTTATATGAAATTTTAAAGGAACTTAGAAAGAGAAGATCAAAAACTATGCAGAGTAAAACAGAGGGGAGGGGGAGGGGGAAGAATAGGGGAGAAGGTACAGGGAATAAGCAGCATAAATAGTAGGTACAAAATAGGCAGAGGGAGTTTAAGAATAGTATAGGAAATGGAGAAGCCAAAGAACTTAGCTGTACAATCCATGGACATGAACTAAACGGGGGCGGGGGGGGAGTGGGTTGTGGGAGCACAGTGGAGGGGAATAAAGGGGAGGAAAATATGGAACTGTAATAGCATAATCAACAAAATATATTAAAAAAATAAAAAAATATGTAATTATGCAAATTGCCTCAATGTGTCCTTTATCCAAAATTTACTGAGTATGTATACTGTGCTAAGCAGTATGCTGGCTACTAGAGATATGAGGAGCTCAGACTGACAGTAGGGGAGACAGAAACAGATGAATTATGAAGTACTTATTTTAAGTATAATTTTTTAATTCATGAGCAGGTTTATTTTAGGTTTAGCAAATGAACAAAAGAATTGCTTTAGTTTTTATAAAAGAAATCTACTTTGCAGGGGGGAAGGTTAAATGTAATTTGGTTTACTGACCAGTAGAGGGGGATAGAACACCAGAGTGATGCTTCTATGGACCACGTGGTAAGAACTGTTCCATAAACATAATTTACTCAGCTAATATTTTTCCCCAAACTCATTATATACTTATCTGTTGGATATACAAAGTATATAGATCCATTCTAAATAAGATACTCTTGTCACTTAGAAAAATACAGTGAAAAAATCAACTTTCACTTCTGTTTTATTTCATTTCATTTTATGGGTTTTTTTTCTCTATGTCCTACAACACCGTGAAAGCTCACCAACCATAGAAATACATTGCATTAGTGTTCTATCATAAATATTGCAAATAGTGTTCATCTGTCTTATCAGTATCTTTCAAGAGTAGTCAAGTTAATGAAACTCAATGTAATGGACGAAGCCAGCTGTGATTCTTAACAGAAAATAAATTATAAAAATCTCTTTATATTCTGTGAGTAGTATCATGTTTGAAGCATGGAATTTGATCCCTCATATTTATGTGTTTCTCTGGCTATAATCAATTGATGTAATATTGAGATCAAAACTTATAAAATGCAACTATGATAAAAGCATTTTATATGGAACCACAGTATATTTTTTACAAGAAGGAAAGAAAAAAAAAGACAAAAGAAAAAGAAAATTTTCCCTTATCAGAAAGTTTTGTTTAAAATTATTGTGAAGGTGCCTCTTGTTTAGATTATTATTGACAATTCTCCCTTTTGAAGGGTCTCAATCGGCAGTTATTTATGGAGTACCCACTTAGATGCTCAATTTATGTGCTGTAACAAATTAATAAATTAACAAAAACTGGGTGGCTTAAAACAACAGATACTTACTTTCTCATGATTCAGGAGGCCAGAAGTCTGAAATCAAGGTTGGCTTCTCCTGGAAGCTCTGCAGGAGAATCTTTTCCTTACCTCCCTCCTAATTTCTGGTGGTTGCCAGCAATCCTTGACCTGTAGCTGCATCACTCCAATCTCTGCCTCCTTCTTCCCATGGTCGTCTCTCCATGTGTCTCTCTGTGTCTTTATATGGCCTTCTTATAAGGACACCAGTCACTGAATCTAAGGTCCACCCTAAGCCAGTGTGAACTCATCTCAACTAATTACATTTGCAAAGACTCTATTTCTAATAAGATCATAGTCTGAGGTTCTAGGTGGGCATGAATTTTGGCAGAACACTATTTAACCCAGTACAAGTAGTAATGCTATTTTTTATGTCTTCAAAGAAGTCTTAAAAGAGAAAAAAATAATATGGTTTTCTGTTGTGGAAATAATATGGAAACTGATTATTATATTCAGAATAGACATCTCCCAAAGCAGAATGAACGGACTCATTTTACTTTCCTTTCCTTAATCTTTTTACTTTACTTTATTTTACTTTTACTCTATTTTTATGTTCATGTGTTTATGCCTTGCCTTGTTCTATAATGCTTTTGAGGTATCTTGCAATAAAAACATTTAGATAGTAATGTGCACAACATAAAGTGTATGGGGCTCACTGTTAATAAGCAGTGTATGCTTATTTTGAGACCCAGTAGAATTAGAGATTTAAAAATAAAGGATACAGTAATACTCTCTCTATAAGTGGAAACCAAAAAGTCCCATCACATGAAAGTCGCACTCACATTATCAAAATGGTTAAGAAAACATCCCTTTTAATTAGTCTCCCAGTTATTATGTATTTTGTATGTTTTCATTTATAAGTAAGAATTAGACCAATTATTACAAGTGTACACCATTCACTGAACTGAGAAAGCCCCAAATTATCAGAAAGTAATCATTTTCTGATTGTTTACCCTGGTGAAGACACTACCTTTAACTGGTCCCAAGTTGAGAACTGCAGCCAGGTAGCAGATGGAAGCCAGCTGCCAAC